AGACCACTTATTTATTGTTCACAACATTTGCATACCTTTGTTTTTTAAGTTTAAAGTCAGGGAAATTGCATTTAGGATCATTTTGAATCACACTTTGACATGATGTAAACAGTGTTGTGCATTAAAAATCTAATTTAGTCCCATTTAACCTCTTCATAATAATTCTAATTGGCAAAACTGGTTCTATGATTAAACACCTTGTTTTAAAACATGTGTAAAGAAAATCACAACTGTGTCCAGTAGATGGCAGAAACACACCACTGATAGTTTATAGTTTATTTTACTGCTCTGTAGAAAAGAATGTAAAGTAATTGGCCATATCATGAAACTCGTAGACATTGGCCACATGGTGGCGCTATACATTGTAAATTCACAGGCTTCATGACTGCTTACCCTGCTAAACTGCTTGACCCCCGTCAATCGCCGCTTGCGGCTATATTTTTTTTTGTATTTTCATGTTGAAAAACACAATACTGTATATAAGATACCATATTTCTTTTAAAAATATACATTTAAAAAAAATAAAGTATAGCATTATAAAATTGTTCCATCCTCAAATCTATGACAACATGTTGTAGTCTACAATAATTAAACTTAAAAGGAATCTTTTCAGAAATCTTAATGCTTTATCTTAAAGCTAAATCTTAAAGAATGTGTGTGTGTATATATATATATATATACACACACACACACATACACACACACATATATATATATATATATATATATATATATATATATATATATATATATATATATATATATATATATTTATTTATTTATTTTTTTTTTTTTTATATACAGTTGAAGTAAAAATTATAAGCCCCCGTTTGAATTTTTTTTCTTTTTTAAATATTTCCTAAATTAAGTTTAACAGAGCAAGGAAATGTTCACAGTATGTCTTATAATATTATTTCTTCTGTAGTAAGCCGTATATGTTTTATTTTGGCTAGAATAAAAGCAGTTTTTAATTTTCGATTGTCTACAGAACAAACTTTTATGTTTAGAAATGTGTTGATAAAAATCTTCACTCAGTTAAACTGAAATTGGGGAAAAAAATAAACAGAGGGGGTAATAATTTAGGGGGCTAATAATTCTGACTTCATTTGTATGCACACTCAAGCCAGAAATGATTTATACTCCTAGCAAATTCCAACTTAAAGTTTCTTTTATTCAACCTGCAAGTTTTAAGTTTTTTTATTTTACTGGAAATGAGAAAGGCTTCTCCCAAATGATAATAAGGCGATGTACAAAAGGCATAATTGTGGAAAAAAGTATTTCTCACTTTTATTTCCATATTTACATTTGAACAAAAACTTTAAGTCAGAATTTGCCAGGGGTATTTTCGGGTAGATTGTATATGAAGGCTCCAAAGTTATTGTATTTGGTCTGATATTTCTCATGGCCTACAACGGGACAGGACTTTGATAAAGTCATCTTTATACAGTTTCATTGATCAGGCAGTTTTCACCATTTAGAGAACAGAAAACAATTAGTACCTGACATCATCCATTCAATCCCACAAGCACAAATAAGAGAAAAAGAGAAACAGTCCTGACAGTATTTAAGCCATTTAAACCATGTAGTGTTTCACAACATAAAATACAGAAAAAAAAACAGTTAAGGGCTTCTCTTCTCTTATCAGCAACAACTTCAAACCAACGGCCCATATAAACGAAACAATATGAGTCTCCCTTTTGCTTTAAATAAAGATGTCATTCCTGTTCTAAATAAAGCTGTTTCATTTGCACATTTGCGAGGGATGATTTCCTTCAATTATGTTATCTCAGCGCACATATATTGGCAGAGCACCATCCCGTTTAATATATTCAGAGCTATGAAACCTAATGCATTCTCATGCCTCATTGAGTTTGAACCATCAGCACGATGCATTAATGTCCTTGATGTCGCACATATATTGCTTGTGTAAATTAGTATTGTTTCAATGACGTCACAGCCTTCCCGTCCACGCTGACCTCTTTTTCTGGAGAATTTGAAGGCTAAACAGTCATTTACAGTGTAGTAGAGGACTAAACACATTTAGGATTCCTATTAAATACTGTATGAAACACGTAAACACACACTTCTGCTTGCTTTGGCGTAATCTGGGTCAAACAGTTACAGACAGATTGGACTGGGTTATATTTGGCAGGTTTGAAGGGATCGGGCAAGCATCTGGCCTAAGCATTAATCTGAATATTTTAATGTGAAATAGATACGTAAATGAGTGGATTTACAGGGCTGTTGATTTGGATTCTACTGCTCTTTTTAATTCCATTTTAAATGTGTAAAAAGTTTAAATGTTTTTTTTGGGGGGGGTCAGGAAGGATCATTTTTGATTAAATAATGCTTTTAATCAGCGGTTCTCTAGCGTTTTTTTTCATGGTCATTAAGAAAAATTATCTAAAGTTTTATTTTAAAACACTATGAAAATTTTTTTTTATAAAATTGTGCTTTAAATCAGTGGTGCTCCACTGTTCCGAGCATGTGATCTACAATTTTCTATTGTCATTAGAAAAAATAAGTTAGTTTCTTTTAAAAACACTTTTAAAAACTATGGAAAACCTCATATTTTCTACGCAAAAATGCCTGCCACACATAAGTATACAGTCCCAATTTACTTAACACACTACTTAAAGGCATATTTCACCCATAAATTTAAATTACCTCATCATTTACCGTCCCTCATATTGTTTTAAACATTTATGAGTTTGTTTTTTTCTGTTAAACACAAAAAAGGAGATATTTTTAAGAACGCTGGTTGCTGAAATTATATGGGTGCCAGACTTTTTCTAAATATCTTCTTTTGTGTTCAACAAAATAAAGATACTCAAATAAGTGTTGAACAAGTGAAGAGTAAGTAAATGATGATAGAATTTTCATTGAACCATTTCTTTTAATATGTTAGATTGAGACTTTACTCTTAAATTGAAAGAATATGGCTGATCCAGATTAATAAACAGTTTTAGGATACAACATTAAATAGAATTCCCAAACTAGTTTTTGTTATTACAGTGAAGTTAAAGGGATAGTTTACACTAACATGGTCAACCATTAGGTAGAGCAAGCAATTAAAGGGTTAGCCCTTTGACTGCATGCTCTACCAAATGGTTGACCATATTTTGACCGTTTTAAATAATGACTGCTTAAGTTATTTAAAGAATAACTGTTTTAAATAATGGTTTACACACACTGCATTTTGTTTACAAACATAATCCTGTTGCACTGCTACAGTTGATTTTGGTTTTATTGTAAAAAAATAAAATAAACAAGAAAACTTGTTAAATGAGAATCTGAAATATTTCATGGCATACTTCAAAAAAATAAAGATGAGTCAGTGTTCGAAAATGTTTTATTTTGATTGTGTTTTTAAATAGATTGGTCTAACACTTCATATTTTCAGATTATTCATAGTATACATTATGTATTAATTATGGTACTTTTAATATTAACCGACATAGCAACCATTTGGGTTGATATTTTAGAAATTATGGGATGTGTTGAAAACAATGCATTGAGTGTGCTAACTAGCGACATTAGGAGTTATTCTTTTTTTTGGTGGGGTAGTTAAATTGATAAAAAGTGTCTTACTGTGTACTCAGACTTAGGTTAGGTATTAGAATAGGTTAGAATTAGGTTCATACCAATTAAGTAAAGGGATAGTACACAGATACAAATGAAAATGTGGTCATTATTTTACGTCCTCCACTTGTTAAAAACCTGTTTAAGGTTCTTTCTTCTTTTGAACACAAAAACAAGATATTCTGAGCAGCCAGTGACTACCACGGTAGAAACAAAAAATACAATGGAAGTCAATGGAAAATATTCAGCATATCTTCCTTTGTGTTCAAAAGAAGAAAGAAACTTAAACAGGTTTTTAACAAGTGGAGGTTGTAAAATGTTGACCACATTTTCATTTGTATGTGTGTAATATCCCTTTAATGATTTGGTATAAACCTAATAAAATAATTTGGTATTACCAAATAACATTAAGAATACACAAAAAATACACAAAAAAAATATTGCAGATTTTTGGCAATTTCTTAACATGACTTGCATCACCGCATTTGTAATTGAAGAGAGTGCACTGTGAGCTGATATGTCACAAAAGATTGATTTTCAGCGATAAGAGACTTTTAATTATCATAACAAGTACTGAAAAGTGAATTAGAAATGTAACACTGACATGTAGCCAGACAACATCTTATTAGACCACAGAGACCGAGTTAGGACATGTTTTCTTTTTAATTTCACATTAATTTTGTACATAAATGTCAACAGCTTAAAACAAACAAACAAACAAACAAACAAACAAACAAGTAGGTCACATTTATTTTGATGGTCCGTTTGTTGAATTTAAGCTATATTGCATCTACATGCCAACTAATTCTCATTAGATTATAAGCAGACTGTTAGGTTGGGGTAAGTGTAAGTTGACTTGTACTTGCAAAGTTTCTTAGTCAGTTGAACGTCTGTTGACGGAGCAGTATCAACAGATTTTAAGCAGACAGTCTACTAAAACTCAAATGCACCATCAAAATAAAGTGTTATCAAAAAAATACAGTTTGACCAAGTTGTGATCTATTAGTTGAGAAATACTGCAGTAATCCAATCCAATAATAATGTTCATCCCGTACATCCCGAAATCTTGAAATTTGGGCTAAAATATTAAGCAGCGCCACTGTTTTTGACACTAATTATAAAAAGTAATGTCACACCAAGCCAACATAATAAATAAACATTTAAAAATATATAATAAAAAAGTCATTCTTTTAATCTGTAATAACTTTTTTTTTAAACTTAATTTGATATTTTCTGACAGATTAATGCAGTCTTGCTGAACATAATAGACATTTTTAAACGCATTAAATTAAACATCCAGACCCCAAACTCATTTATGTTTCCTAATTTCTCTTTCAGTACTCTGTTTGTGCTCTCTTTCCTCAGTCTGTCTTTGTCTCCACTCATTGTTTTCTCGTTCATATTTCTGCTTTTTGTAGTGTTGCCATAGGCGTTGGTTTCTACGGCAATAGTGAGGCGAACGATGGGATGTATCAGTTGACCTCATCCTTGCTCACTGCCAATTACACACTGGCGTCCATCGATCTTCTGGTGAGAAACACACACGCACTTGCACATAAACACACACACACACGCACACACACACACACACACACACACACACACACACACACACACACACACACACACACACACACACACACACACACACACACACACACACACACACATGAAAGCTTATCCATCAATCTCCTTATGAGGGATTGGAGGAGCACAGGAATTGCTGCCTGATTTTATTGTACTGTGATTGCAAATACGTTTATGTGTTTTGCATGTTGGAGTGAGAGAGAGCGTTTGAATACATTTGTGTTTGAGATATAATCATCTCCTGGTATTGATTTGGCTGGTTGCTCACATGGTTGATCGATGAATGTGCGTCAGTTTGATTAATGACCTACTTTACTTGTACTGTACACTCTTGTAATGCCCTCTCCATTCATTCCTGCTTCTTTCGTTCCATTGTCATGTATCTCACATCTTTTCCACCACTCTTCAGTAAGTAATGGCCTATTCACACCAAAGAAGGATAATTGTAATAAGAAGTATGTAAGTGTCCACTCATCAGTAGAAGATTTTGCTCTGTTTATTATAAGCCTCGGACGCTTTAAAAGCGTGTGCTCTGTAAAGCAGCATGAATTCTATAGGACTTGTACAGTTTTTGGAGTACATTTCTGTTTGTTCATCAGCAAGAAAAAATTCTATTTTGAAAGTGATTTAAAAAATCATTCTTCTGTATAGTTATTGTAATAATTGCAGTGTGGGTCTAAGAATTAACAGTAGGAGTCTAACAGTATTTGTCTACAGAAATTGAATAATTGCAAAAAAGCTTTTCTTAAATTGTTTTGTCTTATTTCTAGTTAAAATATCTAAAAAAAAAATCTTAGATTATGTACAAATATTGTTTTGTTTTCAACTTCAGAAGAATTAAGTCAAAATTAAGAGTTTTTCCTTAAAACAAGCTTTATTATCTGCAGTGGGGTAAGTAAAATAATCTTGTTTTCACTTTCAAATGTTGATATTTGGACTAGAAACAAGACAAAAATTCTAAGTAAGAAAAAAGGTTTCCTAAGTCGTATATATTCAGTATAAATAAAGTAATTAAATACAGTTCTTACTCTATAATTCAAACTGAACATTGCATATCTTGTGATGTGACTATTGCCAATGTGCACATTGTACAATATATTGTGCAGCCCTAATATAAACTCTACATTGTAAAAAATAGTCTGGGCTTGCGAGTTTATATTGGGTCAACCAGTCTAAAATCACTTCTTAATTTAACGGTTGCAGTTTACCATTTCTTACATTGTACATTTAAATGAAGTACTTTCCCCATGATCCTCCCCAGGTTTCAGACACTATTTCCGGCCTCCAGCGGTCAGTCTCAGGGCCCTTGACCTCTATGGAGGATGTGTTTGGAGGACACAAACCAGCGCTGGTGCCCACGCGCTCTTGCAGGCGTCTGTCAGAGCGGGTCGTGTCTCTGCTCTCCAACCTGACACTGGGAAGAGGCCTGATCCCCATCGCAGATGGCTTTTACAGGACAAACGGAAGTGAAAGTATAGTGGGAGCCCTCACTCCTGCTCCACCTTCTGTAGCGCCAACCCTCAGTCCATCCGCCAACAGCATTCCTGCACCATTCTCTCCTGGATGGGCAGCAAACACCCTCATGGTGAATGAAGACTACAGGTGAGGAAGACTAGGGAAGATAATGAGATTCTGTAGGTTAAAGGGGACCTATTTTGCAAAAATGACTTTTATAAGGGCTTTAAACACAGATATGTGGAAACAGTGTGTAGATATTGCCAGCCTGTAATAAACATTAATTGATTTTATTTTTTATTATCACACTTCATGAAAACAGTCTGCACTTTGATTGACATTCTCCCTTTGTACATGTCATCATAGGGGGAAAGTCCAACCTATTAGTGACTATCTTTCTCTCATTAGCATAGACAGCCCTGAGTGAGAAGCAGCTGTCAGCCATTACAGTTATAGCACTGTAATAGCCAAAGATAATGTCAGCGACTATGAGGCATTAAAAATGTGGATTTTTAGAATGTACAAATGAACACTGTAGTTTCCATAAACGGCCTTCTTCTGAGACGCTTCTTTTGACTATCACTTCACTTCTCTGTTTTTTTCAGAGGTAATGTTAGAATATTAATAAAATATTATATGAATGTTCTGTATCTGTTCCATTTAGATATTTTTGAAATGTAATTTATTTCTGTTATGCCACGCTTGAACCTTTTGTTGCAACTGTGCCTTAGTTTTTGTGTCCTTATAAAATGCTGAATACTATTAAGTAATTGTAAACTGTATTTTTATAATTCTTTAAATGATTTGTTCAAAAGAGCATCATTTATTCATTCATTTTCTTGTCGGCTTAGCCCCTTTATTAATCCGGGGTTGCCACAGTGGAATGAACCGCCAATTTATCCAGCACATTTTTATGCAGCGGATGCTTTTCCAGCCACAACCCATCTCTGGGAAACATCCACACACACACACACACACACACATACACACACACACACACACACACTACGGACAATTTAGCCTACCCAATTGACCTGTACCGCATGTCTTTGGACTGTGGGGGAAACCGGAGCACCCGGAGGAAACCCACACGATTGCAGGGAGAACATGCAAACTCCACACAGAACTGAGCCGAGGTTTGACCCAGCGACCTTCTTGCTGTGAGGCGACAGCACTACCTACTGCGCTACTGCATCGCCCAGCATCATTTATTTAAAAATGTAGTTATCTTTTGTGGCATTCCTGATTTCTAACTTCTTAAGCAATGACTGGTGTAGAGAATTAATGAAAACAACAAACAAACAAACATAAATACAATAGAATTAAATGAAATATCTTTGGTTTCTAGGAAGGTGAATATCAAATAATTCAATATCATTTATGGGCACATTAGCAAAATTTCAGCCTTCAAGTCTTTAATTTAATTTAATTTTATTTAATTTTATTTAATTTTATTTTATTTTATTTTATTTTATTTTATTTTATTTAAATGGTTACTGGGCAGTGAATTTTATGTTTTTATTTGTCATTTAAAAGTCTGACAACAGTTACTCTGGGTCTAGGATTTGAATCTAGCATTTATTATGTTCTGAAAATGTGGTTTAGGTGGCTGTCATATGTGCTGCTGCTTTTGGTGGATCTGGTGGTGTGTTTCTTCATTCTCCTGGGTTTAGCCAAACAGTCCCGCTGGCTACTTATTCTGTGAGTAACACTCATTACTGATCTGCTCTGTGCAAGCAAGTGCTGATATCCATACATCATTGCTTTTGTTGTGTATGTTTTGCGTCCGAATTCCCCAAGATAGGAAATGCTTACAGAAAAAAAGTCAATTTATTTTTGCTTACTGACTCCCACTCAGGCACAGAGGGGCAGATGGTATAAATGTGTGTGTGTTTGCAGGATGACAGTGCTGGCCTGGTTGTCTCTGTTTATGAGCTGGGGTTCTCTGGGTCTGGAAACACCCACTGTGGTGGTGAGTATTCAGGCAACGTCTTCCCCGACACAAAAACAACAGCTCTCCGAGAGCGGACGTCCAGCACAGAAAAACCACCATCTGTGTGTGTGTGTGTGTGTGTGTGTGTGAGAGAGAGAGCTTTTGGAGAAAAATCCAGCCAAAGCTCTGTGAATGTGACTTTTTACATTTTAAAAGGTCACAACAGCCAAGATGCAGTCACTTATTGTGTTCTTATGAAAGAGCGAGAGAGGAATAGAGTGTGTTAGATTGAAAAAGGTTTTCCACTCTGGGAACTCAGCAGTCATGGCACAATCCCAAAAAGGCTTGAAAATAGGGCAGAGATTAAAGATTCAGTGTGAGTGTGTGTTTGTGTGTGCGTGTGTGTGTGTGTGTGTGTGTTTCTTTGTATAAAAAATGGGGGGGGAGGTATAAAGGGGATTGGATGCTGGCATGAAGATGAGCATAAGAGATCTTAAAAGCAATGAGAACAAAAAGAAGTGAGTGATGTTGAGTGTATCAGAGAGGAAGTGAGAAGTCAGCTTATTTCATTTGAAAGATAAGTATAAATATGTAAGATATGAAAATACAAATGTAAATAAAAATAAATTACAATTGCAAAGAACAACAAGTACAACATAAGAAATTAACAAGACCACATTTAACCGATCAAAAAATGACTATGCACAATATGTCTTTCCACAGATATATTAAGCTGTTTAATATGCAATTTAACATATTAAATGATTTATAAAGGATCATGGGAAACTGAATAATAATAATAAACTAAATAAATACTAAAACATATTAAAATATTGTAGTTAAATAGTTGTTTTTAATCATTTTGAACACATTTCGTGAATGTTAGTCAGTATTGGATAGATTGCTTACATACTGTATTCTGCATTTTACCAGTTGTATTATGAAAATTGTAGTTAGTCATTTAATTTGGATTACATATTTTAGGAAATGTGTTTTGTCTACTTTTTGATTGTTTTTAGATTACTCTTGACCTAAATTTGCCTCAAAAGCAGTAACAACAAAAAGTATTCTGAAACAATAGATTTCAAAATAATCTACATTGACATTTTGTTTTGTTAATATTCAAGCTAAACGATATGACATACAATATAAAATATACAGTTAGGTCCATCGAAACAATTCTTCATTTTTGACTCTACACCAACACAATGGATTTGAAATTAAAAAACAATATGTGCTTTAACTTCAGACTGTCAGCTTTAATTTAAGGGCATTTACATCCAAATCAGGTGAACAGTGTAGGAACTACAACAGTTTACATCTGTGCCTCCCACTTGTTAAGGGTCCAAAAGTAATTGGACAATTGGCTTTTAAGCTGTTCCATGGCCGGGTGTGTGTTATTTTATCCCAATTACAACAAGCAGATATAAGGTCAGTCAAGCGAGCCATCATTAGGCTGAAAAAAACAAAACGAACCCATTAGATTTGATGAGATAGCAAAAACATCAGGCGTGGCCAAAACAACTGATAAGAACATTCTTAAAAAGAAAGAGTGCACCAGTGAGCTCAGCAACACCAAAAGACCCAGAAGACTATTGAATACAACTGTGGTTGATGACTAAAGAATTGTTTCCCTGGTAAAGAAAACACCCTCCACAACAGTTAGCAAGATCAAGAACATTCTCCAGGAGTTAGGTGTATGTGTGCCAGAGTCAACAATCAAGAGAAGACTACACCAGAGTGAATAGAAGGTTCACCACAAGACGTAAACCATCGGGTAGCCTTAACAGAGCCTAAACAGGAAGGCCAGATTAGAGTTCTAAAAAAGCATTCACAGTGCTGGGACAACATCTAATGGACAGATGAGATCAAGATCAACTTGTACCAGAGTGAGGGGAAGAGAAGAGTATGGAGAAGGAAAGGAACTGCTCATGGTCATAAGCAGTGAAGCATGGTCGTAGTAGTGACATGGCGTGGGCATGTATGGCTGTCAATGGAACTGGTTCTCTTGTATTTATTGATGATGTGACTGCTGACAAAAGCAGCAGGATGATCTCTGAAGAGTTTCAGGCGATATTTTCTGCTCATATTAAGCCAAATGCTTCAGAACTCATAGGACGGTGCTTCACAGTGCAGATGGAGAATGAACCCCAAAGAATACTGCAAAAGCAACCAACGAGGTTTTGAAGGAAAAGAAGTGGAATGTTTTGCAATGGCCAAGTCAATCACCTGACCTGAATCTGATTGAGCATGCATTTCACTGGCTGAAGACAAAACTGATGGAAAAATGCCCTAAGAACAAGCAGGAACTGAAGACAGTTACTGTAGAGGCCTGGCAGAGCACCACCAGGGATGAAACCCAGCATCTGGTGATGTCTATGCGTTCCAGACTTCAGGCTGTAATTAACTGCAAAGGATTTGCAACCAGGGGGCAGGGATGTAGTGGACATTTTAAAAGTGTGGGGGACATTTTAAAAGTTGAATGAGATCCAAAAGTTTACATTCATATAACTATTAATCACCTGTTTTTAATGGTCTGGCTGTAAGTAAGGGCCACATCCCCTCAGTTGCTACGCCTCTGTTTGCATCCAAGGATTAAAAAGTGAAAGTTTGATTTATGCTTATTATTCTGTCCAATTACTTCTGGCCCTTAACAAATGGGAGGCACATGCAAACGGTTGTAATTCCTACATCGTTCACCTGATATGGATGCAAATACCCTCAAATTAAAGCTGACAGTCTGCAGTTAAAGCACATCTTGTTTGTTTCATTTCGTTTCATTGTGTATATATAGAGCCAAAATGTTAGAATTGTGTCAATGGCCAAATATTTATGGATGTAACTGTATATATTTTGTTTAGAAAAAAAATGTAAAGGAGAGAAATAGGAAGAGTCAACATATTATTGGTAATTCGCTGCCATTGTTTGTTTAATTTGTAATTAGTTAACATTAGTGGAGAGCAGGGACTGAAGTACCATTTTTTTATTTTAAAAAATTAGTTAAGAAAGAAAGAAAGAAAGAAAGAAAGAAAGGAAAGTGACAGGAAGAGATGGCAGTTGCTGGCCATCAAAACAAGGCTTTCATTGTACAGATTCAGCTAACAGGAACAATTGCCTAGTGCTCCCTTTTATAATACACACACACATACACACACTCGCTTCTTCTCTATCGCTCTTTCACTCTCTTTTTTTTACCCTCTTTAGTCCACTTGTGCAGCTCTTGGTAATTTTGAGTCCTCTTCACTTTGATAAATTACTCACATTCCACCAGGGAGAGCAAGTGAGTGATAAAGAGACACTGCAGAGCGGACAGATGAACAATTTGAGGGATGAAAAAAAATGAAAATAGGGTCAGTTTGTAAGTGTGTCAGTGAAAACTGTAGATCAATAACAGTCAGAGCGGCGGGACGGAGAGACTGAGGGAAGTATGTCACTTGGTCACTGTGCCGCACTGTTGACATCTCTCTTCTGTATTCACTTTAGTGCTCAATTCTTTTTCTTGCTGTCTTTCTCTCTATTTTTTCCTCTCTCAGGCCCTGAGTGATTTTTGCTTTGACCCAAACACATTTGTGCTCAACTCCACTCACTTCAACTCTGGGACAAGCCCAGGTGCTGTAAAGCTCTTTCTTACACATTTGCTCTGTTTCAAAACTTATTGAGTTGGCTTTGTAGGGAGCACATCTGAGTTAAATATGAAGGCTATAGAAAGAAGACGAATGTCCAGCATCATAACAAGCTTCATCTTTTTATTTTTATAGCCAAAAATTACCAACAAACAATTAGTTTCAATGGTTGCACCCACTCTTATGTGAAATTATGAGGTCAATATTGTGCAACAGTTAGTCTCTGAACCTAAAAACTTTGCTCATTTTGTCCATAGAGAAATCGTCACCTTGGAATTATAAGGTTCTAACTGCATTCTAAAGGATTTTGAGATATTGAGCTTCAAAGTTTTTGCAATTCATATAGCAAACAATATGTGTGTTACAGTTCTCCTTAATACATTAACATGACAGAGAGCAAAAATGTACTCCAAATGTACTCAAAATTCTCTTAAATTTTCAAATCGGGGTACAAAACAGAGCAAATGCAGATAGAATATTCTAAAAAGTTATTTTCTGCTTGGAATTCTAAGGTTCTGTCTGGCAGATCATTAATTGAAGCTTTACTTTTCAAGAAATACAATCAGTCTGCTTATTAATTTAATAATAAGAAGAATTGGTGTTGTAACAATGTTGATGTTTGAGAAAGTAAAATTTTTGCATTTATTTAATGTTGAATATATATTTTTTTCTTGTTCAAATTAAGCATACAAGGCTGTGCTAAATGTTTTGTCCAGTGCATATGTTCATTTTTTGTAATCAATATGGTCATATTTATTGTTGTAATTAAGACCTTCAAATCAAATTAATTATTTGCCCTTCAAGCCTAAAAGAGTATATGCCGAAGCATGCTAATAGGACTTTGAATTTGCCAGTAACCTGGGTTAACCGCTTCCGGACAACTCTATGCCAATGCAAAAATTGGCACATTTAAGGTCAGTTTTCTTTAAAAATCAGCGATCTCCACTGGCTGAGTGATATCCGATATAAAGTGGGTCTCAGATTGTAAAAGAAGCACTGCATTAAATTACATTTCCCCCCGCCATGTCTTAGTAATATGAGCATTTATTTTACCATAGTATATTCAATGGAGCTTCTGCGCTATCCTGCCTATTCTGATGGGCACGTGAGAGCAAATGGCTTTTTGTCTTGTTTTATGCTTGAGCAACTAAATGAATGTTAAAGTTTATTTAACTGATTGTATTTTAATTACAATCACAATTACAATTTAATTACAATTACAACACTGATGCTGTAAAAGGAACCGTATAGATTGGGAAAAAATTCACAATAACAGGTTACCGGAAGATTGTCAGTATAGGAAAAACACTAGCTCGGCATATACCGTATATCAAATTTAAAGACTTTAAAATAAAACAGACAATGAGCAAATTAGTTCTTTAACAAAGTTTAATAAACACAGAAAAATGTTTCACCAGCTATATATACACAAATAAAAATATTTCACATTTAATATATTACATTTTTCTTTAACAACAGAGCAGTCCAGTGGAAGGACAAAGAAAGCTGATCTTGATTGGTCCTCATGTGTGCATTTGAAATGCTAAAAGAACCTTATAGAGCCACGCTAGAATTCGACCTTGCAGATAAAAACCTTTTTCTTTTTTTAAATAAAAAGTCTTAAAATATAAACAACTTGTAAAAAATGTAAATAAAAACATCATATAATGTAAATAAGTTGTCATTTAATAAAAATATGTGAATATCTCAATTTTGAGAAAAATGTCAGATAGAACCTTTTTAAAGATTTATTTATTAGCAGAAAACATACAGAATACTACATTACCCATGATGCTATGTCAGCATTTCATCCATCTCAGACTCACATTTAGCAAAATCTGGCAAAATATATTTTGTAATAAACTTGAAGTATATCATTAACAGATCAACCAACAACTTCAAATACAGTTGAAGTCAGAATTATTAGCCCCCCTGATTTATGAGACCGCTTGTTTATTTTTTTCCCCAATTTCTGTTTATAGGAGAGAAGGTTTATTCAACACATTTCTAAACATAAAAGTTTTAATAGCTAATTTCTAATAACTGATTTATTTTATCTTTGCCATCACGACAGTAAATAATATTTTACTTGATCTTTTTCAAGACACTTCTATACAGCTTAAAGTGACATTTAAAGGCTTAACTAGGTTATTCAGGTTAACTAGGTAGGTTAGGGTAATTAGGCAAGTTATTATATAACAGTGATTTTTCTGTAGATTATCGAGAAAAAATATAGCTTAAAGGGGCTAATAATTTTGTCCCTAAAATGGTGTTTAAAAAATTAAAAACTGCTTTTATTCTAGCCGAAATAAAACAGGTACAAAATTCAAAGGGGGCTAATAAATCTGACCAACTATATATATTTTCTTTTTAAAAATTATCGTGTTGTTCACAATGTTTCAATCATAGCTCTTTCCCTCATTATAGCCTTAAAGGTGCAGTTAAATTTTGCCATCATTTTGTTGTTTACAAAAGAAGATTTTTTTTTTTTTAAAGTTGGAAACCTGTAACCAAATGAAAAGTATTTATTTTTTGCACTGTGGATTTAAATGGTTACAGCTTGTTAACATTTTTCAAAATATTTTCTTTTGTGTTTAACCGAACGAAAAGCTCAAACTAGTTTGGAGCAAGGCCATTTTTTAAATCTATTTTTAACTATCCCTTTAAGTACACGGTCTTGTACTTTTGACTTTTTGTTTGATTATCAAATAACTGAAAACAATTATTTATCGGACTTACACATTTTAAGGTAATTGGTTGCAAACTATTTATATGGGCTGAATTTAATCAAACAAATGAATTTGAACATTCTACATGTTATTTGTTTGTTTAAATTCAGCCCATATACATTGTTTGCACACACCTAAATAAATCAAATGCATATTTTTTTACAGTTTAGACTTCTTTGTTTCAAGTCAAAGTTTGTAATGTTATAATTATAATAATGAAGTTCTTCATTGTTTATTGGTTTGGTTTAAATGTTTTAACAATGACTTAATGGTTTAAATAATACTAATAAGAAAAAATACTTCTAAAACCAGAGCTGATGCTTTTTTTACTGTTCAGTTGACACAGAAAAGCAAGATGCATGGCAGTGGAATGCAAAAAAGAAAAAAAAACAAAATAAAAAAGGTTTATGGATTCAAATTTGAACTTTTTCTTCTGAACTGGAATTTAAAACATTGTGTCACACACAAGCTGCTTCAAAGGATGCAAGAAGCAAACACAGTGGTCAAACACGTCTGTCTAGTGCATGTCTACATATTAAAACTATGATAAAACAGTGGAATGTAAAAAAACAGCCCCTATGTAGGCAGTAGCAGCTCACTAAGTATTGAAACAGAACTGTCCGACCATCTGCCTCCAGCTGAGACGCATTCATAATCTTCTGCACCTCTTTCTATACATATTTTTAATTTTTTTCTCACTCTCTCTTCTCTCCAAATAGAAGTCCTGGATTATTTCCTAACCTGCAGCAGGAAGATGAGCAGCCCTTTCCAACAGGTGCGCGATCTTGTTACATGATGCTGCAGACGGTGATGTCATAGAGATTAGTGAAGGAGTAGAAAATAGAACATTAATATGCTATCACAAGGCAGAATTCCCCAAATATAAGGAATTATGGTCATGTCACAAAGCACAGATTAAGATTAGAAAGCAATGACATTTATGTCACGGTGCAGATGAACAGACAAAAAGAGGATTATGACATTATAATCAAGACATAGACCGACAATTTTTGGAGGAGCCGATGAATTAATGAGGGAATTCATAAGGTCATCAAATTATAAAAACAATGAAATAGTATTAGGCAAAAAGAAGCTGGTTTAACACTGACCACACACAAGTACACACTCACACACACACACACACACACACACACACACGCACACACACATTTGATTAATTTTATTTGGAATGACTAATACTAATTAAAGCAACACAGCATCCAAATAATCGTAAGGAGCCCATGATGAAACACAGTACAAGCAGCAGATACAACCATTGATTTTCTTTTGCGTGGCAATATTAAACATTCAATCCATTCTATAGTATTAAGTAAAGGAATTAGGGGTAGAGATGGCATCGTCTTCTCCACACATGAAGACTGCCTATTTTAGCGGACACAGATCAATACTTTGCAATTTGTTTAGAGTCTTTTTTACTGAGTTTGGCAATTTGTAGTCCCCTCACACACAGTTTATGAACGTGCCCTAGACTACCGTAGATTAAAACTACCAACTTTGTGTTGTAGCCACTCATTTTTAGAGCATTTACTAATGGTTGATATTTTAGCTTTTTTTTTCTGAATAGCACAGATCCATATATGCGTCAAAACAGCAGTCCTTAATTATTAGTACAGGGTTTCTGCAGACTTTTTAAAGACCCTTTTAAGACCATTATGATTTTAGACGTATACAGGGCTAAACACTAAGGATTTTTTTTTTCTAATGGCCCGGTTACTTCTGTAAATAGTATTTGTATTAATAAAAATTTTGTAAAGGGATGTGTTGCTTTAGTTTTGTTTCCCTATTTAGAGAATTTGCTGTAAAAATGTCTTAACACTACATTTTTAATGTATCAAACACTCTTTGAAATAACTACTTAAATATATTTAAAAAGATTTTCTTATGGATTATTAGTGATCGGGTGTCAACCGATTGGGTAGGAATACAAAATCAAACTACTTTCTTCACATTCTTGTGTGGTCAGTTTGTTCGGTAGCTCACTTTGTACTTTACACTTTTGAAAAACCAAAGCCCGAGAAATGTATTTCAGATTTGTCAAAATGCAGACAGTGCCCTGTCATTGTAAATGTGCAACAAATGTACCTGGAACAACAAAAATGTAGGCTGAAGCATATATTTCCAGTAAGTCTGACTGAAGTGTTTCAAGACATGGACAAAATGGTTGGTACCCTTCCATTGAAGAAAAAAACCCTCCGTGTTATGATTAATCAAAACATATCTTGTAGTTCTTAACAGACATTTTTCTTTCATTTATTTATTCATTTTCTTTTCGGCTTCATTAGGTATATTTTTATTAGTTAATGTCAATATGTGTGCAGTTTGAAGGGTAATGGAATCAAGACTACTGTTCAAAAAAGAAAAGGTCAAAAATGGCTTTAGTGTGAAGAATGATCTACAAAAATAGCACTTTTCTACTATAAATAACTTTTTGTTGAATATAAAGGTTCTTTTGATTAAAAAGGTTCCTCACAGAATGGCAAAAATATCGTGTTTTCCCTCCATGCTAACAACATGCCAGTTAATAATGTAAAGAAGAACAACATGCTAATCTGTAGAGGAAAAATGCTAACAACATGCTAATCTGTAAAGAAAACATGCTAGCAAATCCCGACAGGAAACATGCTAGCAACATGTTAATTAATACTAGAAACATTAAAACAACATACCAATGCATACTTGAAACATGCTAGCAACATGCTAATGCTTACTCAAAACTTGCTAGCATCATGCTAATTCATACTGGAAACATGTTGTCAACATGCAAATCCATAATAGAAACATGTTATCAACCTAGTTTTTCATGCTAAATACATGCTAACAACATATTAATTCATATTAGAGATATATACACTAGATATCGCATACAGACCCTGAGCATGCGTCAATACTGTCACCACTTTTGTACAGTGCTCCCAGGACGAAAGTCATTTGACTGCACTAGTCAAGATTAAAACCAATGTGATGAAGACGCTGGACTTTAGCGCTGTGTACGGGTGTAGTAACGAGCAAACAAAGAAAACGAAGCATAAAGGCACAACCTTTCATAGATTTCGTTTTTGTGATTTTGTATGTTATAAACTTTTGTGCTAAACGAGTATCATTATTGATGATAATACAGTCTCTTACTGCACTGACCATAAGGCAAAGGAGCTTTTTTTAAGTAACTTATAAGAGTGCCTGATAACATAACAGTGCCTGCGCCTCAATGTGCATACTGTCCATCCTAAATTATTGAATATTTCAAAGGTTATATATCATTTAAATCAGAAAGGATATGCGATTGAGATGCAGGGATAATGATGGTTCACACAAGTCGTTCATGACGAAGATTCATTCACAAACAGGACACGGATTAGATCAAATTTAATAGGGAGGGAGGATAATACATTCCATGCACAAAAAACACATGCTCTTTGTCGACAATGCCTGTGCGATCACTTATTCATCAATGTAGAAAAGTAATTTAAAACACCCAAAAAGAAATACTGACCACCATGAAAACTCCCTTTCACAGATAGGCTAAATGTATTTATGTGTATATATCTGGCTCTGAATGGCCAGTCCTCCACTGCACCTTGGTCCCACATTTATTTCAAAGGAGCGCTACCCTGTACTAAAATGGAGGCTCTATTGACACATTTCTTTTTCAAAAGCTTTAATGAAACTATTTCACATTTATTTTGGTCTTGCCAATATGCTCAACATTTTTGGATTAATGTTGAAGCTTTTATTGCTCATAATATTAAAAAAAAAAAAAAAGATTTTCCTAATTGTATAAACATGATTTTGGGTTATTATGTTAAAGATTGCTCTGTAAAAGACCCTGGTTTTATTATAAACTTTTATTTTATTATTATGTAAATTTCACATACACAAATCTAAGTTTCTTTATACTGCTAGAAAAAGAGTTTAAAGATTTCTTAGATTTCTAATGAAGAGTTGAGATGCAAAAACCTCTGAAATTGCCATCTGAAATGTTCTCCTAAAATGTGCATTTTTCCCAGGCTCCTATGTTTATGTTAAGTTATTTCACTTTAAAGGCAATGAAAAGAACTTATTCATCACTTTAAAAGTCTCATTTCCGAGCCTACATACAGGAGTATGAGAAAAATACTAATTTTAGAAGAAAATGTCAAGCGGCATTTAGAGGTTTTTGCATCTAAATTCTTTATTTGCTCTTTTAACATTTTTGCATAAAAATATTTGGATATTTTATGTAATAAAGTGCATTTAAAAGGTTTTGTTAATAACTAATATTGAAAAATATGTACTATATTTCCGTTTGTGATTTGATAATTATGTACTCTCTCTTTTTCTTTTCTTTTTTCAATTATTATTATTTTTAATTTAATTTAATTTAATTTCTATCTATCTATCTATCTATCTATCTATCTATCTATCTATCTATCTATCTATCTATCTATCCATCCATCCATCCATCCATCCATCCATCCATCCATCCATCCATCCATCCATCCATCCATCCATCCATCCATCCATCCATCTATCTATCTGTACTTTTTCAATCCCTTTAAAACTAAGCAAACTAATTCCAACAGGCTTTCACAAGCCACCATAAAGTTTGCCTTCAATCTTTAATACCTAGTTAAACGTGTGTTGCTCTAGACAAATGCATACAATGAATGCATTCAAATATGTCATTACATGTCTGTTAATCGACATTTTTTTTGTTGAACTGGCATAAGATACTGACCCAGTCCCAGAGAGCACTTTCCAGCATCCACTCTCATCTTTCCAGCCTGGAGAGAGATGCTCTTCCACGCTTCCCAAAAGCAGAGGTATGTCAACACTGCTAAAACTGCTCTCAGTACCAACAACTGACAGCACAGATCAATAGCAGCTGCAGTGAAGCTCTTCTCCACCTGCCGCTGAGCTGCTGTGTTTTCTCTCTTTCAGAGGTCACTCAGGGAGGTTCAGCAGATCCTCAACACCACCGAGGGAAACTTCCATCAGCTGGTTGCTCTTCTCAACTGTCGAGGCCTGAACAAGGTAAACATGGCAGCCTGGTTTTTACCTCAGCCAAGCAGTTTTCATGTCGCAACAAGTGGACTCATGTGTTGTCCTGTCACTCTCTCAGGATTACGTGGACTCTCTGAAAGGCCTGTGCTATGATGGGATGGAGGGGCTGCTCTATCTGTCTCTCTACTCTTTTCTCTCCGCTTTGGCCTTCACTGCTATTCTTTGCTCCCTCCCTGGAGCCTGGAGGAGCTTCCACAGGTTAGCTGAACTTTATTCCTTCACTTTGGCTAATGCCCCATCTGCTTCTGCTTTTAGGAAAATCTGATTGGATTTATGCTGCAAATTAATTTGATGACAGCAGCAAAATAAAGATGCAAGATAAATAGTAGGGCTGTGCTTTATGTAAATGTGAATTTGGGTCTTCCATATGGTTGTACGGTAAATGATTAGTTGTAAAGTTTATATTATTATTGTTTTTGTTACCGATTTCTATTTTATAAAGCTGTGTTAGAAATGAAGAATCATAGAAAAATACATATACATCTACAGAGGATCTAAAGCACAGGTGTCAAACTCAGATCCAAAAGGGCCGCAGCTCTGCACAGTTTAGTTCCAACCCTAATTAAATACACCTGATCAAACTAATTGAGACCTTCAGGCTTGTTTGAAACCTACAGGTCGGTGTGTTGGAGCAGGGTTGGAACTAAACTGTGCAGGGCTTCGGCCCTCCAGGAATTAAGTTTGACACCCCTGATCTAAATCCTTCTCTTTCGCTTTAAGTTTTTACAAATTGTGACATTATTTGATTAAAAATGTATTATAATTAAAAAATTCAAACTATTTTTTATATTTAGTCTAGTTTTCTCTTTAAGCCAAATGCATTTGATCTGAATTTTTTTGGGGGGAAGAAATTGTACATGAATATTTAATTCATTTATCAACATATTTTCATGGTTTATATCAACTCCCAAACTCCTTGCAGTTCTCTAAAACCACACAGATAGACAGATGACAGATAGATGGATGGATGGATGGATGGATTAATAGACAGACAAATCTTTGACCCATGTATAAATTATATTGGTCAAAGATTAGTTTAAAAAATCATATTAAATCCATGAAAAGTGTCTTTTGCATAAACAAACATTTAAAATTTGGATTAAATAATGATTCACCGTCATTCATTGACCATACTATTTATTGAACTAATATTCATTCATTAAACTATACTATACTATTCATTGAATATATATAGCAGTGCGATATGGCTGTATATCAGCACTGGTGGGAGGTGTGCCATATTGCACTGTTACGAGTTCGACGGCATGAATAAGAAAATCAAACACGAAGAGTCTAAAAGAGTCTCTGTGGCGATCTTGTGGCGGAATATCAATAGTTTTTGCTCTGCTCAGTGGCAGGGTAATGGCCACGGATGCACTGAATTTTCAAAATTATAAATATTTAAAACAGGCACTATCCCTTATAAATAAACTGCATAGTTGTAATCTAAACAGTTGAAGTCAGATTTATTAGCCCCCCTTTGATATTTTTTTTTCTTTTTTAAATTTTCCAAATGATGTTTAACAGAGCAAGTAAATGTTCACTGTATGTCTGATAATATTTGTTCTTCTAAAGAAAAGTCTTATTTGTTTTATTTTGGCTGGAATAAAAACAGTTTTTACTTTTTATGAACCATTTTAAGGTCAAAATTATTAGCCCCTTTAAGCAAATTTTTTTCTGACCGTCTACAGAACAAACCCTTGTTATACAAAACTTGCCTAATTACCCTATCCTGCCTAGTTAACCTGGTAAAGCCTTTAAATGTCACTTTAAGCTGTGTAGAAGTCTAAAAATATCTAGTCAAATATTATTTACTGTCATCATGGCAAAGATAAAATAAATCAGTTATTAGAGATGAGTTATTAAAACTATTATGTTTAGAAACGTGTTGAAAAAATCTCTCCGTTAAAAAGAAATTGGGGCTAAAAATTCAGGGGGGCTAATAATTCTGATTTCAACTGTACACTCTCACCTAAAAAGCCACAAAAGTACATTATGTTGTTCCTCTGCTTGTCATTTAGGCGAAGTAATACACAAGAGTGAAGAGGCTGTATGAGTGCTGATATTGCAGAATATCTCAAAGCTATCAGCCAATCGGATTTGGAAACCAAAATACTTATGTGCATACATAAAAATAACACTGACCTGTGTTAAAATTCTTTTTTTAAAAGAACTTTTTTTTAAAGAAAAAGCTTGTTTTAGTTTTAAAACTACATTTAAATGACATTTATTTATTTATTTTTTGTGATCTTTTTTTATTTGAATATGCCATAAATAATTATAAGTGTATTAAAAATACCCAACAAGATATTTTGATATATTTACTATGGCTACACTGAATGAGATTTTTAGTGGCTGTCTTCTTGTAAATCATAGTAAAAATGTATGATAGATTTAATGTATGAAAAAATACATCTATAGTTACTATGTTTTAACAATTGTTTAAACCCCTTTTTATTTGACCCATGTATTTTTAACACTTCAAGTTTTCAGTTTTATTAAAACCCTTCATTTAGTTTACAAAATTATGTTTTTATATACAAAATATAGAACGAAACAATCCGTCAGTATAAATCAAGATGAAGGAATACACGTCATCCTAATAAGATGTTAATTGTTTTCTAGTGCGCATGTGTAGCATTATCAAAGACATTAATACTCCCACAGAACCGGAAAACATGATCATTTTAATGCAAACCAACTTACATGATCCTCTACATCAGCTGCAGCTGAGTGTTAATGGAGATGAGCTGCTGGTCTGCTCCATTCAGTGTCATATACATGTAAACCCTGACAGCCGCACTCATCAGCAATGCACAGATGATAGAAACATGATCTCAACTTAAGGCCATTACTGCTCAAATGCACTTCACTTCTGTTATCTGGATATGGTATTAATGTCGCCATTACCATTAGTTCACAAAGCTTAGTCACATACTGTTGATTCAGCTCCAGTTGGTATATACCCACCAAGTGCCTGATGTTGGCAAATCCAATTTTATGAAGTCACAGAGGCGGCCTGAAGTGTTTAATTGCGGTAAAACTATGCTTGAACTCCATTTGCACAGGCAGGAAATGGAAGATGCATACATTACTAAAATGGCAAAGAGGAGTGACACAGATTAAAGGATTATATGCTGCTCTGGATAGGGATTATTTCATTTCAAGACAATATCTGTATGTATATAGCCATGAGACGCAGCAGGCAAAAGCACAGGATATTTACGCACCTGTCAATTTACAGATTTTGGGCTTTTCATAAAGTCTTTTTAATGTATATGTAAATAAACCAAAAATGTTTACACCCAATGCTAAACTCTTTTTTCCCAAAATTTTAGTACAAATTATTCGATGAATCCTTGAAAACATCTGAAATACATTTGTGCATGTTTAGTGAAAAAGACCCATTGCTTTAGTTCAGTGTTTCTCAACCATGTTCCTGGAGGATTAACAGCACTGCATGTTTTTGATGTCTCCTTTGTCTGTCGCACCTATTACAGGTTTTTCAGTCTCTGCTAATGATCTGGGGCCTCATGCACAAAGACTTGTGTTGAAATCATACTAAAACATTGCGCACAAAGCTGTAAATGTGCATACGCAGTAAAAAAATCAGGGGCCTCATGTACGAAGACTTGCGTGGAAATCTTACTAAAACATTGCGTACGCACAAAGGTGTAAATGTGCGTACGCAGAAAAAATTTCAGATGTATGAAACACTGCGTACGCCGAATCTCATGCATATTCTTTTGTACATCTGAATGAACGTGAAACTGAGCGCAACATGCACGTGCACATAACCCCTCCCTGCCTCCTCCCCCGTATGAATATGCTTATGACTATGCTAATGGCAAAACCCAACGAAAAAGCAATGGCAAAAGCAAGCAAAAAGAGAAACTTTGAACAGAATGTGAATTGGAGATGCTGCTTTCGGAGGTAGACCGGAGAAAAGCGGTGTTATTTGCAAGTTTGTTCTCCGGAATTAACAACAAAAGAAAAAAATAGAGTGGGAGAGTTTAGCTGATGCGGTTAATACAGTTGGGTCTGAACATCGCACTGAGTGCATTAAAAAAAAAGAAATAGTGTGGTTTATATCTGTAAAATGTTGCAGGACGCTTAACAGTTTCAGTGGCGCTACTCGTTAGACGCATGTGATCATGAATTGATACGTTCGAGCATGAACTCGGCTCGAATCCAGCGTCTGATGAACTCTTTCTTGTTTTTTCCCCCGCTACATATCAGATTTTGCCAACTATTTATCACGAGAAAGACAAGTAGGAATCATCAATAAGTTCATATCAATAAGCATCATATTTTATTTGCACATTTATTGAATGGAAGTGTTTCTGATTCACGCATGCAAATTCATCTTCAGATAGTGTCTTTATAGCAATGTGCGTGCAGTAGATCGCTCAGATTACATTGGGAAAACAGGCGACTGCTGCAAATTGTGCTTTAATGTTTAGCTGGTCAATTGTATGGTATGGAAACCTTATATACCTGCTGAACCCGTCTCATACAGCTGCCATTGCAAGGCTCAGACACTTTGTAGAGAGGAATTTAACACAACTGCCTCTAGGAGTCGCCAATGGAAACAAAACAGACACGCACAAAAAATGTGCGTACGCCTGCCAGAAAGCTGCCGTGAAGCTGCGCACATTCCCACGTTCAGTTCATTGTTAGTAAATCCAAACGTGAGCGATTCTGAGCGTGAAACCTGGCGTACGCAAAGTTTTTGTGCGTACGCAGCGTTCATACATGAGGCCCCAGATGTATGAAAAACTGCGTACGCCGAATCCCACGCATATTCTCATTGTACATCCGAATGAAGGTAAAACTGAGCGCACATGCACGAGCACAAAACCCCTCCCTGCCTTCTACCCCGTATGAAGATGCTAATGACTCTACTTTTGCAAAACCCAACGAAAAAGCAATGGCAAAAGCAATCCAAAAGAGAAACTTTGAACAGAATGTGAATTGGAGGTGCTGCTTTCGGAGGTAGACTGGAGAAAAACGGTGTTACTTGATACTTAATAACAAAAGAAAAAAAATAGAGTGGGAGAGTTTAGCTGATGTGGTTTACACAGTGGGGTCTGAAGATTGCACTGAGTGGATTAAAAAAAAAATAGTGCTATGTAAAGGTGTAAAATTTTGTAGTATCTTTAACAGTGTGGTGGCGTAGCTCGTAAAACACATGGCAACATGTTTTGACACGTTCAAGCATGAACAGTTCGAATCTAGCGTCTGATGAACTCATTCTTTTTTTTACCCCCGCTATATACTGTATTAGATTTTGCCTACTCTTTATCACGAGGAAGACAAGTAGGAATCATTAATAAGTTTGTGCATCATATTTTATTTGCACATTTATTGAATGGAAATGTATCTGATTCACATATGCATATTCGTCTTCAGATGGCGCCTTTATAGCAATGTGTGTGCAGTCGATCGCTTCGATTACATTGGGCAAACCGGCGACTGCTGCAAATTGCGCTTTAATGTTTGGCTGGTCAACTGCATTGTATGAAAACCTTATTTATATACCTGCTAGACATGCAGATGAACCTGTCTCATCCAGCTGCCATTGCACAGCTCAAAGACACTTTGTAGAGAGCAATTTAACACAACTGCCTCTAGGAGTCGCCAATGGAAATAAAACAGACACACAAGGAATGAACGCACGCCAGGCATAAAGTTGGTGTGGACCAATGCTTATTCTCACGTTAATTTCATCGTTAGTAAATCCAAACTTGAGCGTGAAACCTGGCGTACACAAAGTTTTTGTGCTTACGCAGCGTTGATACATGAGGCCCCTGATGATCTGAATCTGGTGTGTTTGGTTAAGGAGACAGAAAATGTGCAGGGCTGGTGGTCCCCCAGTTACGTGGTTGAGAAACACTGCTTTAGCTGAATTATCTATACATTCTCAAGTCAAGAAGCATTTTCTAGAATTATTGCATCGCTTCAGACAAAATAAATAAGAATTAAATGTTTTTTCTTACATCCTATGAGAATTAAAGTGCATGACTTTTATTTCAGTATGTCGATGTTCTTCCAACTGATGGAATATTGAGTAGGGGGTGGGGCCTTTTTTTATTAAGCATCATTTCCTTATTGCAAACTGAGATTAACAAAAAAAGGACCAACCCTCCAAATATGAAAGCAAATGGTCAGACTTTGACTAAATATTACCAAACCAAACGTTTTTGTCTTCAGTGGATTTACATTAATTGTGCATTGAAAGACTAAGCGTGCTTTCACACCTACACTTTTGTTTCGGAACCTGTCTCGTTTGCTCAGTTAGCGTGGTTCGTTTGGCATATGTGAAACCAGCAATAGTGCTTGGATCCGCGCCAAATCAATCGGTCCGAGGTTGCTTGAATGAGGTGGTCTCGGCTCGATTGAAACGAACTCTGGAGTGGATTGATTGCAGTGAGAAAGCGATACGATCTGAGTGCAGTTATATCACAGTGTTTTATGGATATGTAATAGGCATACGGCTGTATGAAGAGAGAATTAGGAGTTGGGCTGGAAGTTTCAGTCTCCCGGATGCTCCCAAACGAGTGATAATCTCCTAGTAATCTCGCGTCTGCCTCCCGGTCCTCAAATACGTCACGCACCCTTCTCACCCCTCCCCCACCGCATCTCTCCTCGCTCTTCAGACACGGCGCGCACCTTGTCAAACACCATCAAACCACCACCTCCCCTGACAGCTGAGCGGGACTCATAATAAACCCTGACATTCTGATCAATGTGTGGAGAGTTTACTCACACGTGACTTGTTTTAGCTCTTTTGGTCCGATTAGAAACTTTGCCGTGTGAAAGCGAACCGCACCAAGAGCAAAGAGCAAAAATGTAACAATTTTAAACCCTGTTTCAGAACAACTGAATCGATTCACAGGTGTGAAAGCACCCTAACAATCTGTGCTTGCAAAATAAACATTGTACATTTTTTATATCACACCGATTTTTAAAAGAGCTAAACAATCTTGTTTTTAAGGTTATTTTGCTTGGTTTAAAGAAAAACACTGAAATTTCATGCAGATTTTTAAATGTATGCATATCTTGGCATTTCCATTATACTCAAAAACGTATTTTTGCTGCTTGTTAAAACTGCTTATTTAAAATGCGCTGAAACAACACAATTCTTGAGTGTTTTTGGGGGTTAGCTAGAATTGTGTGAAACCCAGCATTTCCAACTCAACACAAGGACTGATCGTTCCACCAGATCTTTAACAAATGGATGTTTGCCAGTACCGGCTTTTAAAAACTGTTATGGACAGAGATCTTTCTTTTATGTTTTCACAAGAGTCTGGAATGAGATCCCACAACATCTCAAAACAATACCAACACTGAGACTTTTTAAGAAATCCCATGCTTGTCATCTGATGGTCAACTATCGCTGTAGCCACTGAGATAGTAGCTTGCTTTTCTTTATCTTATATGTTTGGTGATTGTTTGTACTGTGTTGATGGATGAGATGTTTGTCTGTTTTTATGTTCTGCAGAGCAGGAACCTGCTGAAAAACAGCATTCATGCTGAGTCAGGCCCGATTATCTTTTAATCTTTTCCTGTTTAAAAATTATAAATAAATAAATGAAATAAATTTTTTACAGTGTGAGCTGCGTGTCCACCAAAGTGTTTTTTGTGCAGCAATGTGAGCGCTGTACTAAAAACATCCGTGAGCTGTGAGGCCTTCTCCAGTTGTCGAAGCATTTTAAAAAACACTCAGCTATGCAGCTGCCTTTTTAACAACGCAATGCTTCCATTGACAACAGAATAAAACGCTCAGCTAGCATTTCTGCAGCACAAAAACACTTCAGTGGGCACATAGCGATAAGAGTGTGCATAGGTGGAGTCATAGTATGTAAATGTGATTGATTTATATCTTTAAACATTTTGGAAGAACATGTCAAACTCATGAGCAAATTTGTTCCGTGTGAAGACACTTGTGGAATTGGTGCTGCTGTCTGCTTAATGTATGACCAGACTGAATTTACAGACGGACACTACAGGCCTACACACGTTTATTGTTCAGTGAATAGTCCTACAGAATTTGCAGTTGCAGCTGTTTTCTGTCTGTTCACAGGATTTTTTAAACAGTCATTTTAAATCTGTCTCCAGTGCTCTGATTTTTGTGCTGTAAGTGCATATTTAATTAAATAATCCCCCATTTGCACAGGTAAACATCTTGAGATACAAAAAATGTGTTTTAAATGTAATCAATCATCTAGAAGAGATGAGCAGAATTATTATAATGAGAATTATTATTATTTCTTGCATTTTTACTCTCTTTATTTGCAGTGTCTGGATATGTTTTGATCTAAAGCATTTGTTTTGTTTCGCCATTCTTTATGTTCTATGATTGTTACCGGATGGCACAGTGATTCAGACGATTATGAAGACTCGGACAGTGAAAGCGAGGACCCCTTCACTTCTCATCAGGCACGTAGACAGACGGCCACGGGCTCCCAGCGAGGGGCTTTGCCCCCCTTCTATAGTTACCAGGGGGCCGCCTGGACTCCCCCCTTTTCTAGCGCACCTCCATTACCGTGAGTAACACATGCACAGATACACAGACAGACAGACAGAATGAGCTTTAAACACATAAACCAACAGCACAGACACACACACACCACAACACCCACACAGCAGCTCAACAGCACACTTTGTAGGGTATAGGGGGATAGTTCACACAAAAATGTTTATTCTGCCATCCTTTATTTCTCCTTCACTTGATCTAAAACTGCTTGATTCTTTCTTTTGGTGAATACAAAAGAAGATATTTTAAAATATATAAAAAAATAAGAGTAATTTTTTTGTTCCTGGACGTCAGTAATTCCAAGATTCTTGACAATATCTTCTTATACATTCAACAGAAGAAATAACTCCATAAAAGTTTAGTTACTTGAGTGTCAGTAAAGGATTTCATTTTAGGTGAACTATCGCTTTAAGGAATCAAATGTGAATTTTGAATGAATAAATAAATACATTTATATCTTTAAATTTACACACACCTTCATACACATATGTATCGTGTATTATAGCTTAAAACGTTAGCTAAATGTCATTCAAATATTTATTATTATTATTGTATTTTTTATTCCGGTTTATTCTGTTTTTCTTTTGTTGTTTTTGTAATTTAATTATTAGTTGAAATGAGTTTATAACATTTTTAGAAATCTATTTTTAAAGTTGAGTTAAACTTGATTCATATATTTTCCAGTTCTTCATTCATTTTTTTTTCTTTCAGGTTAAAATAATAATACAAATAACATTACATTTAAGCAGTTATTAAGATTAATTTGCTATTTGTTTGTATTTAATTACAAAACTATGTATTAGTTTAGACTCTTTTTTCACTAAATAAATTCTTAATAAACTCTATTCCAAACATTTTAAAACAATTAAACCAAAATAATTTTAAATATATTTATGTGTTTTGTAGATTTTCTAATATTTTTTGGTAGAAGAATCTCAGATTCTAGTTTCATGCTTTGCATCTAAGTTGTGTTATAAATGACCATTACACTATGACAATACACATGCACAAACAATACAAGTCTCATGCACAGGCAGAAAAATAAAGTTCTGATCACATACAAACAGGCAGACAGACAGGTGTTAGATAGAACGCACAGACAGACAGACATAAACTCTCTCTCTCTCACACACACACACACACACACACACACACACACACACACACACAAACACAGACAGACACACAGACAGGTCTATACGTCAAGCACAGTCCAGCCAAATAACAGACATGAGTCCAGAGGTCTGTCTGTCTGTGTGTCTGTCTATTTGTCTGTCCATCATTACAAGACAGACATAGATCCACCAATCAGAGACGATGCACAATATAGGTAAATCCTGCCCTCTGATGTTTCTATCAGAATGGACATCAGTCTTTTCAGTTCTACTGCAGTCAGCCGTGCTGTTTCTCTCTTCTCCCTGCTTCAACATTCCCTGTTTCTTTCTCAATTTCAATTATTCCTTTTTTTAAAAACTGTATATTAGATCTGACATGAGGGTCAAAGACGAACGTAGAAAGCCTATTAGGTTTCAAATAATTTAAAAATAAAATCTAAATATGAGTAAAATCATGTTCTATTATTGTTTGACACATTGATGTAAATAAAGTAACATATTTATCCTGACCTATCCTTATTTTTATAGATAATGGAATTAATGAATATATTCAGTTTCAATTTATATATATATATATATATATATATATATATATATATATATATATATATATATATATATATATTTTTTTTTTTTTTTTTTTTTTTTTTTTATGTTATAAACACTTAAAGTTAAAGCAATGTTAATATCAGTGAAGTTCATTTATGACTAATTTTGAGAGGAGCACATGCTTATGATTGACCACAGCTGATCCCGCATTAGCTAACGCATGATTCACCAATCGAATGATTCCTAACTCATTTTCAATAGACAGTTCCTTACCTTGGTCCTCTTTGGCTTGAAGAATCCTCTTTTCCACCCCTACTTCTCCTTTCTTTTCCTTGATATGGTGGCACGGTGGCCAAGTGTTTACCACTGTTGCCTCGCAGCAAGAACTCCACTGGTCAAGTCTCTAACAGACCAGTAGATGTTCCTGTGCAGAGTGTACATATTCTCCCTGTGCTCGCGTGGGTTTCCACCGGGTTCTCCGGTTTCCTCCCATAGTCCAAAAACTTGCGACATAGGTGAATTGACTAAACCAAATTAGAATCATATACAAGCTTAATCAGCAGTATATCTCTCTGTAGCAATCTCTAATTTGTCATTAACCACGAATAACAGAGAAGTTCTCAACATCTACCTAAGCTCAAACTCCCCTCCTTTCCTGTGAGCGGAAGAGAGCCCCGGGCTCGAGGATTCTATGAGCTCAGAGCTCTCCCCAGAACAGCATGCCAAACACACTTTATAATCAATCATCAGCTAAGTGTGAACTCTTAAAATAACATTCAAAAACAAAATCTAAATTTGATCCTCAAAATGTAGTTAAGCATGTTAACTTGAGTTATGTTGTGTTTTCTGTACTTGACTGAGAGCAGTTATTCTGAAACAACTAATCGTAATGGATAGAAATTAAACTGTTTTTATTTCCGTCTCTTTCAAATTTCTTGAATTAATTAATTTTCCATCGGCTTAGTCCTTTTATTTATCATTCAATTAATAATCAGTCAAGTAAATATAGGTATAATTTATGTTATGTATAATTTATATAAACTATTTATTTCAGCAGATATCAGTCTTAATGATCAGCTTGAAAATGTAGTGTAGTGCATTTCTAATACTGTATGTGAGCTGAAAATGTATGTTGGTCAAATTTTGCCAATAAATAAAATGATAAATCAGGCCTGTAGCCACAGGGAGTCCGAAAGACCCACCCCTCACTGAGAAAGGTCCAAAACTTGTGCCATACATGAGCTCATTTGTCTTATTTTGACTTCTATGCCATCATAAGTACACTCAAAAAATGATGTTTGCTGTTTGTTCAAACTACTTATTTAAAATGAGCCGAAACAACACTCATTTTAAATTTTTTGGGGAGGGACAACTAAATTGATGTTCAATCCACTTTAATTTGTAAAAACGAATTACTTAATTCCTTCATGTTGTCCCAACAAAAATCGATTATGTAGAACCCAGCATTTTTTACAGTGTAGTAAAAATAGCCCATCGAAAAAGGCTTTATGACCAAGCGGAAACCTTTTGTTGGCTGTTGATTTGGTGTGACTTCAGCTAATCAGTTTTGCCCAATGCAAACAAATATTTTTTCATGAGTTCAATATCCAGCTGCTAGAAAACACAATCTGACATAAGTGAACGGTAGACTACAGTTTTTAATTTAAAACAGATTCCTATTCTTTTTTCTAATGATATATGATGTACTTTGCATTTTAAAAAATACTTATATATATATATATATATATATATATATATATATATATATATATTTTTTTTTTTTTTTTTTTTTTAAATGTTGAGAAAATATTTTTTTACATCAAAAATTTATGAAGATCATCTGACAGGCTAATCAAGCTAAAAACAGTGCTTAAAATGTCATTAAAAGCAGCATTTACATCTCTACTTAATTAAATAGAAAATGAAAAGAATAACTGTAAAAGTCAACCCTGAACACCCCCACCCTTTAATCAGGCTGGCTATGAACCTATAAATTCTAATGTTAAGACAAAAAAATAAATAAATAAATAAATAAAAAAATCCAAGAGAACCCGTCTTTGACCCATAAACATCTTTTCTCATTTCAATCACATTTCCATGTGCTTTAAAATAAATGTATGCAAAAATAAATCCATATTCTATACATTTATATATATAAATTTAGCATATTTGTATAGAATTCACTTCTTTATCAAAACAATCTTCTCTTAGAAAAAGTGAAAAATGTCGCCTCTCTCTAACTCTCTTCCAACTTTTCTCTTCCTGTCTCCACCCCGGCTCCTGGCTCTGGTTCTTCCCTGCACGTCACTCTTTATTGTCCGTTTCCTCACGTCTCCATTGTCCCCTTGACCTGGTTCCTCTCTGCTCCTCTCTCTTTCTTTATGCAGGACTCCAAACGTTTCCTCCAATGGCAACCCTGGTTATGAGAACCTGCCTTTGAGTGACAGACAGTCCCCACCCCCCTCTGTGAGTCCCCTTGTCTTTGTCGCATCACTACGATCTTTGGCCTTCTCAGAAAAATCAACAAGCAAAGATTCAAACAGACCCAAAGACAGAGCAGACCTAATGACTATTCACTAAGCTCCACCCTAAAAAGTTACTGACCAATCGCTATCTGCCCTAATTTCACAGTTTTGAGTCTATGTTCGCAGTTGAATGTTTACATCTTACTGTTTTGACTTTAAATCTTGGTATCTTGTAGTGCTGAGTTTACATCTCAAAGTTCTACATTTACATCATGACGTTTAAATCTTTATTTATAGCAGTTACAGGTTTATTTTTCACGACTCCGGAATTACATCTTACAGTTCAATGTTTACGTCTGACAGTTCCCAGTGTACATCCTGCAGTTCCCAGTTTAAAACTTTATGTCTCACAGATTGGAGTTTTAAATTTTAACAGTTCCACATTTCCATCTTGCAGATCCAAGTTTACAACTCATAGTTTGGAGTTTACGCCTCTACATTTTACACATTCATCTCACATTTCCAAATTTATGTCTCATAGTTCTGTATTTCAGTCTCACAGTTTCTACTTTACGTCTCATGGGGCGTTTACACCAGAAGGAAATTGCGATAGTCAAGTCGTGTAATTAAATGCTTGAGCATTTTGAGTTTATTCGCTTTATTTGTGCGTGCAATTAACTTAATTTGCGTGTGAAATTCACTTCATGCAAAATCACTCAATTTTCATTGCAAAATGGATGACATGGTTATGGAAGGCTGAAAAACAGCATGGACTTGTTTCGCACCATTTCTGGATCCATCAGATCCTTCAGAGATGCACCCCAGCCAAAGACCATAGAATACACAAGACAAGAATGGGGAATATGGCGAATGAAGACCCCCGCCTACTAGTACAGGAGCCATATATCAATTGATATAGACTGACGTTTCTCTGGAGGAAAAGCTTAGACCAGACGTGTGTGTTTAGGACTGGAATCTCAGCATATACTTGTTACACAGACATAAGAAATATGTCCCAAAAGCTTAAAATCTGTACTTTTTTGCTTTGTAATCTGTATGAAACAAATGTGAGGTACAGTTCACCCTGTCAAGCGCACATCACATGACAGAAACTACTCAAACGCCCACAATCTTGTAAACAAAGAGTCGCTGTCATTTCTGGAAGAGATTCGCCATCAAGACCAAGTTGTGAATTACTTCAGAAAAGCAGCGTGATCTGACGACACATTAAGCCTTATTTACATCACGAGCAACTCGCATTGGCAAAAGCAACAATTGATTGTTTATTTAAACGGAGAGTGAGCGACTTCCAGAGACCTCCGTCTACATGAGCGACAGCGACCATTGGTGACCAGGTGGGGCGTGTCTAGCAACGCAAAGAAGTAGAGAATCATTCAACTTTATGCTAATGAAGAGTGACTTCCTTGAGCGACAGCCAATAGGAGGACCAGTAGAGCTCACGTGAATCTCCCTTAGCTCACTCAGAGGCCGGTTGTATTCTCTGTGCTGTAGAACTACACAGGCCTGCGTTTCCAGCAGGTCGCCACCGTGATTTTGTTCCTGAAATTATGCCAATTTTATTTAATTCAAACGTTTAAAAACAACTAAATTTATGAGCCAGTTGTTGTTTAAGTTTATTGGTGATTCCAAAAATGTAAGCTTGGCAAACAGTTTTGGAGAATTTGAAGTTTCCTCATTCAGACAGAATACCTGAGCATACTAGAGCAAGCTCCTGATTGCTTAACATAGCTCAAATGTCCAGCAAAGTTCAGATTTTTTTAAACTTGAGCGAATCACACGTTAAGCACGCCAAACTCCTGAAATGCTCAGTTCGCACCATGTCATCCACTCGATTCGCATCATTCACGCGAATAGCTGCATGATATCTAATTACGCCTTTGCATTGACTTAACATGTGAATCACTTGTGCCTAATTGCTTCATATCTGGTGTAATCGCACCATCACAGTTCTTACATCGCACCGTTTGGAGTTTACAGCTTTGCTTGTCACACTTTCATCTCGCATTTACAAATTTAAGCCTTTATTACGACTCGCACTTCTGAATTTACGTCTCACAGTTTTGAACTGATGTCTTGCAGTTCTGTACTTTACTTTCACATTTCTGAGTGTACATCTTGAAGTTTAACATTCACGTCATGCATTTTTAGGTATAAATCTTTACATCTTGCAGTTTTGAGTTTACATCCAACTCTAACGAATTGGCGTTTGCAGTTTGACGTTTACATCTCGCAGTTCACAGTTTAAATCTTCACTCAAATCTTTGGCAGTTTGGAGTTCCAAGTTTATCTCATAGGTTTGATTTTACGCCTGTACATCTCACAATTTCATCTCACATTTCATCTCAAATTTCACAGTTCTGAGTTTAATTCTTGCAGTTCAGATATGAACTCTCCCAGTTTTGAGTTTACATATCAAGCTGCGGTCACATAGACTCTCCCCATAGACTTCCATTCATACACACGCGAATGCGTCAGACCGGAAATTAAAGTTTGTGCGTCAAGTTTTGCAGTTGGCTTAGTGAACTCTGACCTGCAAAATCGCATCACTTAACTGCGTGAAACCAATCAAGGATCAAAACATGACCTCTCTGGACAGGAATTGTAGCAATCACTCGCTTTTTTATGTCTAATCATATTGTTTAATTCCGCCCCTTTTTGCAAAGCCATACGACAGAGTTTCTCAATTGCAAACTCTAGTTTGACCTTGGCTTCACAGTTCAGTGTATTTTTTACTAAGATACTTCAAATAAATATATGTAAATAAAAATAAATGACTTTGCTTTCTGAAACATGAACAACAGTATCTAAGGGTGGAGCTTAGCGAAGGATTTAAAAGTAATTCTGTAAAAACTGTATGTTTTTATATATACACACATGCATACATACACAGGTATAGATTTAAAAAAAATAATAATATTACTCTCTTTTCTCTTTCCCTTCTCTGCTCTCCTGAACTGCGGATCTGCCCGGTGGTTTCACAGTACTCTCCCAGCATGCTGACTGGCTACGGCGGCAGTCAATCACACTCCAACCCCTCCCATTCAAGAAACTTGTACTCGCACTAATTATTTTTCTGTATAATAGAAAAGAAAGCTATATAGCCAGGTTTAGTTTTCATATGGATGGACACTTTATGAGACGGGAGACTAATTTAAAACATTACGTGTTAAATATCCGTGCGTAGCGTCAGTACCATTGAGTCATTTGGGTGTAACAGACTTACGAAAACCCCGTCACTTCCTCTCCCTCTAGTGTCAATCTGTACATAGCTGGTGGAAACAAGATGGTATTGACGTTACAGTAGTGCTCTATTTTTAAACGTATAACCACTTTATTTTGGAGTTTTGATATTGTTATATGTAGTCACAGAAACATAGTGGCGATGGCACAATTTCTTTGTATGATTATACAGTTTTCTCTTCACCTTTCTTTTTTAAATATTTGACAGAACCCTATTTTATAAGTGGCGATGCTGTACTACCTTGTATACCCTCTGGTATGATTATTTATATAAAAAATATACGAATAATGTTTATATATATATATATATATATATATATATATATATATATATATATATATATATATGTATATATATATATATATATATATATATATACAGTTGAAACCAGAAGTTTACATACACTCTAAAAAAAGGAACATAACCATTTTTAAAATGTCTGATGGTAAATACTAAACGTTTAATATTTTAGGTCTGTTAGGATTACTTAAATAATTTACATTTACCAAATGCCAGAATAATGAGAGAACTTTATTTTTTACATTTTTTTATTAATTTCTAGAGAGTCAAACATTTACATACATTTCCTTGGTATTTTTATAGCTTTTCTTTTAAACTGTATAACTTCGCTCAAATATTTTGGGTATCCTTCCACAAGCTTCTCACTATAGCTTGAAGGATTTTTTGCCCATTCCTCCTGACAGAATTGGTGTAACTGAGTCAGATTTGACACAAGCTTTTTTAACTCTGCCCACAAATTTTCTATAGGATTGAAATCAGGGCTTTGTGATGGCCACTCCAAAACATTCACTCTGTTGTCCTTAAAGCACATTTGAACTAATTTGGCAGTATGCTTAGGGTCATGGTCTGTTGGAAGAGCATTTGTGGCCAGGTTTTAATTCTTGACATGTTGCATCAGCATGTCTACAAAATGTTCTTTCATCATGATGCCATCTGTCCTGTGAAGTAGACCAGTCCCTCCTGCAGCAAAACAGCCCCACAACATGATGCTGCCGCCCCCATACTTCACAGTTGTGATGGTGTTCCTAGGCTTGTAAGCTTTCCCTTTGTAATCCAAATGTAACACTAGTCTTTATGGCCAAACAGTTCAATCTTAGCTCCATCAGACCACAGGTCATGTCTGCAAAAATTATTCTTTTTTCCCAGTGTAATTTTGCAAATTGTAATGTGACTTTTTTGTTGATTCTGGCTTGTTGATTTTCCCATGTTGTCACACAAGGAAGCAGTGTGTTTGAGGTTTTCCTTAAATATTATTCTACAGTTGTGCCTCCAATTAACTAATTAAAGGTTGTCAATTAGCCAATCAGAAACTTCCAAAACCTTTCATCTGAGCTTTTCAGAGGCATTATAGTTGTAACAATTTCACAAAAAATATCTCATTATTCTGCTATTTAGCATAACAGAAACAAATGTAATAATTCAAACTTGCCTAAAAGAGAAAAAGTTTAGTCACATCAACATCTGACTTTAATAGTAGTGTATGTAAACTACTGGGTTCAAATATATATATATATATATATATATATATATATATATATATATATATATATATATATATATATATACACTGTATAAATGTTGATTGTTAATGCATTTTGATGATCAATTGAAAAAAAACAAAAGATTGTTGAGGGCTAGTGTGTGTTTCATCTGCTGGCTCTGAGCAATACAATTGCGTTTCGCCAATTGCAATGCAATGGCTACAATGTAAGCAGCAATAATCATCAGGACATCCTGCGAACACCATCTCTGTGTGTGTGTATCAGACGTCTTCTTGACATGTTCAGTATATATATCGTATATACATTTGGAATTGCATTGGTCCCTTCTCTTGGCTCTCGGCCTGTTGTTAATCCTTGAAAAATGAGTTTCTATGGTTTAATGCTCCTTTTGAATGGCATCCTTTTTCACTACAGAGTCTAATATAAATGAAATAAAAAATACAGTAACAAACATGGGAGGTCTGAATATTTGTGTGTGCGTGTGTTTTATACGTTTATACCTGTTCATGCAAAGTGCTACAAGCATCTTGAAATTTAAACAGTAGGTTATATCTATATGTTACAGCAGAAATGAGCTTTTTTATAAGTTAAAATATTTTACGAATAGATTATTTTTAGTATTTGTTATATAAAGTCATTTAAGTTATTAAGTCTATTGCCTTTCCCAGAGATAGGTTGCGGCTGGAAGGGCATCCGCTGCGTAAAAACTTTCTGGATAAGTTGGCGGTTCATTCCGCTGTGGCGACCTCGGATTAATAAAGGGACTAAGCCGATAAGAAAATGAATGAATGAAGTCTATTGCCTTAAATGTAAAACTCATGCTATTTGACTCTTCCAAACGTTTAAAGCACACCATTTTTGTATAATACAGTCATTTAGAATTTTAATTTAGAATTTTACAAATTCTATTCTTGTTCGCCTAGTCTCTATTTCAGAGACACCACAACGGAGTGAACCGCCAAATATTCCAGTTTTACGCAGTGGATGCCCTTCTAGCCGCAACACACACACACACACACGCACGCACGCACGCACGCGACACACACACACACACACACACACACACACACACACACACACACACACACACACACTCATCCACTACTGACAATTTAGTTTGTTTTTAGTTTGACCGCTTGTTTATTTTTTCCCCAATTTCTGTTTGACGGAGAGCTGTTTGTTTTCAACACATTTCTAACTTAAAAGTTTTAATAACTCATATCTCATAACTGATTTATTTTATCTTTGCCATGATGACAGTAAATAATAATTGACTAGATATTTTTCAAGACACTTTTATACAGCTTAAAGTGACATTTAAATGCTTAACTAGGTTAACTAGGCAGGTTAGGGTAATTATACAAGTTATTGCCTAAAGATGGTTTGTTCTGTAGACTATTGAGAAGAAAAATAGCTTAAAGGGGCTAATTTTTTTCCCTAAAATGGTATTTTAAAAAAATCAAAACTGCTTTTATTTGAGCCTAAATAAAACAAATAAGACTTTCTCCAGAAAAAAAAAATACATTACCAGACATACTGTGAAAATTTTCTTGCTCTGTTAAACATCAATTGAAAAATATTTTAACAAGAAGAAAAAATTGAAAGGGGGCTAATAATTCTGACTTCAACTGTATATGGCACGTCTTTATATTGATGAAACCGAAGGGAAACCCTTGTGAACATGGGGAGAACATGCCAACTCCATACAGAAATGCCAACTGGCCCAGCCCTGACTCAAACCAGCGACCTTCTTGCTTTGAGGCGACAGTGCTAACCATTGAGCCGCCATAACGCCTTTACAAATGTCTAGACAGAAATGAAATCGGAAAAAATCAAATTTAAAACAGATAAATCGCATATATATTCATACACTTCAACCATTATTACTTACTGTCTGGTGTTTTACATTAAGGGGCAATTATTTGCCCCATGTCATATTCTTTAACATTATTTATTACATTAAGAAAATATTAATATTACATTAAATATAAATGAACCTTTATAAATTATACAAAAATGAGTCAACATTAAATACAAAAGCAACAGAGTAGATATAATAACATAAACACACCACCAAAATACAATTTGGAGATTTATCCAACATTCTTATTGTTACCTAAAAGCATTACTAATCTATTACAAATTATGCAAAGAACAAAAAGCCATCCAATAACATACTACAGTTGATAAAATAAATAATATATTTGATTATTTTTGGCACATTTTTTAAAGCTGTCATTAAATTCAGACTTTGTTCAATAAAATATTAAACATTATTTACAGTTAAAGTCAGAAATATTAGCCCCCCTTTGAAATTTGTTTTCTTTTTTCAAATATTTCCCAAATGATGTTTAATTTTAGGAAACTCCAGAGGAACTCTAATTTGTTTTATTTTGGCTAAAATAAAAGCAGTTTTTAATTTTTTTAAACACCATCCTAAGTTCAATATTATTAGCCCTTTTAAGCTATTTATTTTTTCAATAGTCTACAGAATAAACCATCACTATACAATAACTTGCTTAATTACCCTAACCTGCCTAATTAACCTAATTTACCTAGTTAAGCCTTTAAATGTCACTTTAAGCTGTATAGAAGTGTCTTGAAAAATATCTAGTCAAATATGATTTACTGTCATCATGGCAAAGATCAAATAAATCAGCTATTAGAAATGAGTTATTAAAACTATTATGTTTAGAAATGTGCTGAAATAATCTCTCCATTAAACAGAAATTGGGGAAAAATAAACAGGGGGGCTAATAATTCAGGGGGCTAATAATTATGACTTCAAATGTATATCTTAGTCTAAATCTAAATCAGAGATGCCCAAACTAGTGCCTGCGGGCCAAAGTTGGCCCATGGTAACCTTTGATTCGGCCCACCATCCCATCTGACAAGAGAGGGAGAATGATGGGCACGGTTTAGAGATTGTAATTTCTAATTAAATGTAACTTTTTGCTATTTTGTTTGTTTTATTGCTAAGCCCAAAAAAGCTAATGGAAATTAAATGTTTCAAATGGAGACAAAAGCTGATTCTGCTTGACTTGACCAGTGTACTCAGCATTGAACACCGCTGTGCTATAAAAACATAATTGTATTCATTCATTCATTTTCATTTTGGCTTAGTCCCTTTAATAATCTGGGTCGCCACAGTGGAACGAACCGCCAACTTATCCAGCATATGTTTTACGCAGAGGATGCCCTTCCAGCTGCAACCCATTTCTGGGAAACATCCATACACACTCATTTACATACATACACTATGGAAATTCTAGCTTATCCAATTCTCCTGTACCGCATGTCTTCAGACTGTGGCTGAGCACCCGGAGGAAACCCACGCCAACATGGGGAGAACATGCAAACTCCGCAGAGATGCCAACTGACCCAGCTGAGGCTCGAACCAGCGATCTTCTTTCTGTGAGGCGATCATGCTACCCACTGCACCCCCGTGACACCCGGGATTGCAATTTTAATTTTAAAAATTAGACTGAATTAGTTAATATGATTTAAAGTAATATTTTGTATTAATAAATTAGCTATAGAATTTTATAGTATGGTATATTTACCTTTGGCCCACGGCTTGCAATGATATTTGGTTTTTGTTCCTTCTTAAGAAAAAAGGTTGAGAACCCCTGGTCTAAATCAACAACAAAACCAAATAAAAAGACACACATACATTGCATTATCCAGCAGTGTGGCTATTATTGCCTATACTATGACTTAAATTATTCAAAACCTGACTTAAAATAAATGTCAAACATATCAAAGATTAAAAAAAACAAACACTCAAACGTAATATAACAAAAAGCAAATATAACTAAGTTTGAATGATTTATTTTATATTAAAAATAAGTCAAACTATAAATAAATAGTCGTTTTAAACAAATAATGCTTAAATGAACAGTGTAATGTCTCTCCTGATAATTTCAGCTAAACGGCTAAAAGTTTATAAAAAAGTGAATCCAGTTTGTATCCATGTCATTTTTATTTCTAGTTTTTATAAAATTGCTATCAATTTTTGTATCTATCGTTATGTGAATTTTTACTGATACTTTATGTGTAATATTTGGTAATAATTTTTTATTTTCTTATTTAAAGGTTGCCGTTTTAAAATCTGTCAGGGGCCTCAGATGAAAATTAGCCCTTGTGGTTTATTCACAGTTTTGTTTTTCACTAATGATTAATAAGCATTGTCTCTGTTTAATAAATAAATAAAATAGAAGAACAAGTTCACCAAAACGCAAACATCTGTCACTACAGCCTGAAGGAGAGATAAACTCATGAATATAAACAATTATGATCATCCAGTCATTCATTTTCCTTTGGCTCAGTCTCTTTATTCCACAGCGGAATGAACTGCCAACTTATACAGCATATGTTTTACCAAAGACTAGAGTACACAAGACATGTCACTCGTATTGTTTTGAATGGGGAAATGTGTAACAGTCAATTTGGCGAATAAAGCCCGCATTCTAGTACTATATGGCAAATAAAGCCCGCCTTCTAGTACAGAAGCCAATTGTTGATTACTATATGGCAAATAAAGCCCGCCTTCTAATAGAGAAGCCAATCGTACATCACTATATGGCGAATAAAGCCCGCCTTCTAGTACAGAAGCCAATTGTTGATCACTATATGGCAAATAAAGCCCGCCTTCTAATAGAGAAGCCAATCGTAGATCACTATATGGCGAATAAAGCCCGCCTTCTAGTAAAGAAGCCAATCATCGTTGACTATATGGCGAATAAAGCCTACCTTCTAGTAGAAGAAGCCAATCGTCTATCACTATATGGCAAATAAAACCTGCCTTCTAATAGAGAAGCCAATCGTCGTTGACTATATGGCGACTAAAGCCCTCCTTCTAGTAGAGAAGCCAATTGTTGATCATTATATGGCGACTAAAGCCTGCCTTCAATCGTGGATCATTATATGACGACTAAAGTCCTCCTTCTAGTAGAAAAGCCAATCGTTGAACAATATATGGGGAATAAAGCCCGCCTTCTAGTAGAGAAGCCAATCGTCAATCATTATATGGCCACTAAAGCCCTCCTTCAAGTAAAGAAGCCAATTGTCGATCACTTTACGGCAAAAAAAGCCCGCCTTAAAGTACAGGAGCCAATCATCGATCCCTATAGACTGACGATACTTCAGAGAAGGGGCTCGGACTAGATGTGAGTTTCTGCAGGTTTTGTATGATTTGAACGTTTAATAATGAAACTAAAGAGACAGATGTAGTTTAATTGTATTGGTGATTCCAAATATGAAATTCAATCGTACGCTTGGCAAGCGGTTTTGGAGAATTTGATGTCTCCCCATTCAGACAGAATGCCTGAGCATACTGCCGAGAGGCATTTTAAAGATGGCAAAACTCCACACAGAAATGTCAACTGACCCAACTGGGACTCGAACCAGCGACATTCTTGCTGTGAGGTGACAGTGCTAACCACGGAGCCACTGGGTTACCCCTACAATTATATCTGGAAAAAAAGAATAACAATACAAAAAAGAATAAACAAAATAAACAAACAAACAAAATGAATCCCACATGTACTGTATTCATATTCATTTTATTAATTTTGTCCACTTATAGTGTCATATTTACCCCATCGGGCTTAAATTCCCCCTCCGCCCTTCCCTCAACAAAATCCAACTGACGCAGTCAACGTCTTGATTAAATACCATTTATATAATAACAAAACCCAGCTCTGACACCAAAACCGACATTAACAATCGACAAACATTAGTAATCAGTGAGGACGATTTCCAACATTCGCTACACTACAGAGTAGAAATTCAAATAAATAACAGGAATCTTCTCATTTGTTCGCTCGACGTCGATGAGGCGGTTTGCAAAAGAAAAGGACGTGAGCGAGAGACAGAGCTTCCGTCTCTTGCCTCTTGTGTTTCTGCATAGTAAAAGATCTGCACACGGACGTCTAAAAAGGCAATGAACGAGACTCTAAAGTACCATTTCTGTGCATAGTTGTAACAAAAGACAGACGAATCTTTGATCTACTTCAGCAGTGGAGTGCATAGATAGAGATAAAGTGAGAGATGGAGTTCCTGAGAGAGGAGAGAAAGAGAAAAAAAGAGGAGAGCGACGTCAATCCTTCGTTTTGAGAAAACACTAGGACTTCCCTTTGCATGTGTGTGTGTGTGTGTGTGTGTGTGTGTGTGTGTGTGTGTGGTTGTGGATGTGATCTTGCTGCGCCTTCAGGGTTTCTCTTTCAGTATTTAATCCACACTGACAGAGAAAGAGAGAGAGAGAATGTTCAGTTACATCACTTCCTGGTGTCGTCAGGCTTCAGCCATGTTCCATCTTCGTCCACTTCCTTTTGGACGACGAGGAGCATCTCTGCTACATCCTGAGAGAGCTGTTCAGTAAGAAATGACCTGAAATTGAGGAGGAAAAGTTGTTTTTTATTATCATTTGATAATACATACACCAAAAAATGAAATTAAAGAGGACCTATTGTGCAAAAATGGCTTTTATAAGCAGTTGTGTTGTGACGGAATGTGAATATAGCCAGCCACTAATAGTAAAATTTTATTAAATAAATAATCGTACATTATGAAAACAGTCTGCGGAAACAGTTTGATTGACATTCTCCCATTGTACGCGTAATCAGAGGGAGAAAGCCCCGCCCATTAGTGACGATCTTTCCCCCATAGAGTGGAGGAAGTATGATGTCAATTTATTTATAAAAACCCGAAAGCAAGTTAGCATTATAGGAGTCCCGGTTTTCTTGTCCCAAAGTCAATGGGTTTTTTGAATGGGATTTCAATTAAATCGCTTAAATACAGTTCGTGGCTACCACCTATTCACGTTTTATTCTACGACATAAAACACATCAGTTACATGTCACTCTTGATTTTTATTTTTTTTAATCGGTTACGCTTGTTTAAAAAGACAGTTGCTATCAAGTTGCTAAATGGGACTACAGGCGGTGTCAAAGACATTATACATCATCGAGCTGAATTGGAGTGCGTTTACGAAAACCATGGTTAGCTAACTAAGGTCGCATGTTCAACTGTTTATAAACTTAGTTTGTTGATTTGGCATTTCCCAAATCCGTCGTTCCAACGAACATTCGCAAACTGCATCGCAAACTTGTACGCTTGCAACTACACCTCTAGAGCTGTGGTTAGATGCATAGTTCCTGGTTGTGTTCTATTCCTTGTTACCTCTTATGCTAGAGCTGCACGATTAATCGAAAAAAGATTGTGACCTTGATTCGACCCTCTCGATGATCTTAACCCAGCATTTCTACGATTCTGCCAATCCTATTTTCAACGTTAAGTAGAGAAGCAAAGGCAGCCGTACAAGTCTTCACGTTCTTTTACAAACATTGCTCAGCGACGTGAACATCTCCAAACAGTGTAAAAAGTGTCATATACTGTATTAATAAGGTATAATTCACCCAAAAATGCCATTTCTGTCTTTATGTAAGGATGTATTCGCAGCAGCGAAATCGCACGTGACGTGAGCTGACTGTGAGCTGTAACCTCAGAGTGGGCGGGCGCTCGCCTGTGAATGAGTGAACAGAACCTGCATAGGCTGTGAATAACAGGTGATAGAGTTGTAAATAACATTCAGTTTGTTTCACAATGCGATCGTTTGGGAGTCGCGCGAGAAATATGAACGGCACTTAATAGTGAAAATAAAACCGAAAGCGTGCACATCATTTAAATAATCATATCGCATTTTAGAGTAATGATTACGACAAGCATTTAATGTTTTGTCAGTAAAACTACTCTAGCCTATATATTGGTGAATATAATATTATCTGATAATGACAAATGTCTAATTTTACCAGTAGAAAAAAATGGTCTAAAAATATTATCAGTGACAGATTGCAAGCATAGACCTACATGTAATATTATTATTGTTGTTTTACCATAAGAAATAACAATAATAATAGCCCACTAACTAAGCCCTTTATCCTTTATTTCACATCTATAGAATCGTGAGTAAATCATGACTTAAGCAACAACAACAAAAATTGCTATTCTCATTTTAGCCAGAATCGTGCATCTCTACCCTATGCATTCAGAATGTTCCAACATTTAAACTTGGAATGTTAAAAATAAAAAAACATTAATCATCTCTCTTAGATGTAATTTGCCTTTAAAGTGTTTTTACAGTTCAGTTTTAGTGATCTTCATGTTTACAATTGTGTTCCCTTCATAGTGCACATTGACAACATTTTGCCATTTTCAACACAGCCATGACTCATGACGAAAGCTACAGGTGACCCTATTATTTAAAACACGCGCAATGAAGAATAGTGTGAAAAAGGAATGGACACAGCTATCTATGCACATATTGACCTTCCTGAATATACATTTGCATGAGTTTCCTGGTCAGATTTTATGGCAGGAGAGTATTTAAATGAATCACGCATCGTGATTTTCTAAGGTTTTCGATCCTTAAACTAAATTTATTTGTGTCATTATTTAATGCCTATAAAAATTGTCTTTCACCACTGTGTGTTAAAGGTTTTTGACGATGGTCACTTGGTGATTTTATAATTGCAGGTACGCTTGGTGTGCAAAGCCATCTTTTTTTTTTTTTTTAAAGCTTTTTATAAAGAATTTTTAGATTTTACATCATTTATCAAATGTGTTATTTATTTTCATAGATCATAAGATGTTAAACAGTTTGTAAAAAGTGTCTTAAATTGCCAAAAAAATCATAATTTCTTGATGTCTGACTTAGTCAGTGTTTTTTCCCTATCATGTATCCTTGTGTGATCAAAACAATTTATTTTAGGCTTTTTTTAGATTTATAAAGGCTCCTATTAATTCTAAAACAATTAATTGTTTAAAAAATGTTTTATAAATGTTTTAAAAAAGGTTTGTCCGCAAACCTTGCACCAATTCTGTTATCACTATACCATACTTTGCCTTTAAATTTGTGCAATCACCTCTCGTTGATAAGATAATAAGCACTGAAAGGTGTGTGTGCAGAATTAGAAAAAATATTTAATTAAAAAAGACTTTATAAGTGGAGTTATTTTGTAAACTGCCAATACTGTTGACACAGTTTCAAAATGACACAGATACCACATTAATCAAATTTTATTTATTTTTTTTATCCTGGTTTAGTTAGTGCCATATGCTCTAAGTATTTATGCAAGCTAGTAGACTTTTGGGCTAATAAATTACAGTTTTGTGTACAGTGTATAAGTTTTTTTGCTGTCAGTTCCGTTACTGTTACCCATTTAAGGTAACAGTGTTGACATTATGTAACAGAATTGACAGTCATGTATAAGTCAGATTAAAAGAGCTTGTGTTTCTTTCTCATTCTCTTTGTGTAAGTGTGCGTGTATCCACAAGTGAAATGTCATCTTGGTTTGAAGTGTTGAAATGTAAGAAACAGAAAGCAATTTTCTTGTTTCATTTTTAAACAAGGTTTTAACTCATTTCATTCTTCATTGTTACTTCTACACATTACCTAATTTGTCTATAACAGAGCACACAAACAATACTATACAGAAATAAGTTGTTCCCTAAAAGCAAAAAAATAAGTAATTATAGCAATCTCTGTTTGGCTAAGCACTGACTTATTCAAAACCATGTAAATCCTTAATTGGATATCCTTTCAATGAGATTCTGGAGGGAATTGCAGTTTATAAACAGTGCTTTCCCCTAGATATTTGAAATGCCAAATGTACCTGCAATTGTAGAATCATAGTCAATAGTCTATTTTGTGAATGTGCTTATTCTTTGACCAATAAATAAATATATAGCACTAAATAAAATATAACTATACTTTTTCAATGTGTACCATAGTTGCTTTTATTAAATAACTACACCTTTAATGAAGTAGTAGGCTAACTGACATCATGAATAATGGTTATTTTCTTAGCACACCCACGTACAGTTGAAGTCAGAATTATTAGCCCCCCTGAATTATTAGCCGTCCTGTTTATTTTTTCCCCAATTTCTGTTTAACAGAGAGATTTTGTTTTCAACACATTTCTAAACATAATAGTTTTAATAACTCATCCTAATAGCTGATTTATTTCATCTTTGCCATGATGACAGTTAATAATATTTGACTAGATACTTTGACACTTCTATACAGCTTAAAGTGACATTTAAAGGTTTAACTAGGTTAATTAGGTTAACTATACAAGTTAGGGTAATTATGCAATTTATTGTGTAACAATGGTTTGTTCTGTAGACTATCGAATAGCGTAAAGGGGCTAATAATTTTGACCTTAAAATGTTTTTTAAAAAATTAAAAATTGATTTTTTTCTAGCCAAAATAAAACAAATAAGAGTTTCTCCAGAAGACAAAATATTATTAGACATACTGTGAAAATTTCTTTGCTCTGTAAAACATAATTTGAGAAATATTAAAAAATAATAATAATAATAATAAATTCAAAGGGGGCTAATAATTCTGACTTCAACTAAATATGTCTAGCCCCTTTTATACAGATTAAAGATAAAAGTCATTTCAGACACATCAGCAGTCTTAGATAATATGTCAAATTTATGAAGGGTAAACGGGGTGCATAAGATCATGTAATCTGTCTGGACTGTATGTCTGCTGTTTCCTGAAGCACCTGTCATTGTACAGTCCTGCTAATGTTCTTATTGAATTATCTGTTCTTTGACATTTCAATTACACATTTGACATATGACAGTACATAGGTATTATGTACTCCATCTTACAGTGGGAAAACAGAGTACAGAAGTGCAGAAAATCATCAGTATGTTCATAGTTTTTCATTTAAAAATAAATTAATAAAAAATATTAAAACAATAAAATTATTGAAAGTCTCACCTGAGTTCTGTTTCTCCACCTATACAGGCAGGCCCTTTTAATTTGGAGTCTAGGTTATAGAAGTGTCCGTGAACCTCTCGTACCGCCAGCCAGTGTCTCCGTCTCAGTGGGAGAGACACAATTCCCAGTGACACCCTTGACGGGACATTCAAAATGAAGCCCTGAATTTTGTCCAGGCACAAATTCTGTACTGACCTACACATAAATGGAGAAAGTTCAAGAGAAGTTAAAAAAAAGACTTGTTTGATGTTCTTTTTTCCTGAAAATCACAAAAGAAGATATTTTGAAGTATGTTTGCAACGATAGGCTTCAGGTACTTTTCTACTGCAGGGTATGGCATGGTTTGTTTTGGTTATCCTCACTTTTGGGGGCTTTTCCACTGTGTACTGTTTTTAACTGTTTTACTCTTTTAGTACCACCTCGGGTGAGGTTCCAAGTGAGCCGCACCATTACTAAAACATGCCATATACAAAGATTTTCTTACTATGGAGGGGTGAAAATGTCTGTATTACCTATCATTGTGAAGCCCAAAATGCTAACTTGGTAATGTGAAGCACATCTGAACCAATCACATTGTGGCTTTTGGTCTCCAATAGAGGCAGAGTTAGCACTAGCTATTATGCTATTCAGGCTAATAATTTCAAGCTTGCCTTCAAAAGGCTTTCCACATCCCCATATTGCAAATGTGCACAAGATATGTCCATGAGAATCGTCACTACCAGCATCACTGGATTTGTTATAAAACAAACAAGAACTAACACTACATTTAAAAAGTCAGCAGTTGGTTCACAAAACACAAGACTAACCTGTCTTTATACCCTTACTCACTTTACTTCGGCTAAGTCCCTGCTTTATCAAAAACCACATGGGAAGAACATGCAAACTCCACAGAGAAAGGCAACCTGGTACAGCTGGGATTCAAACCAGTGATCTTCTTGCTGTGAGGTAGGGCTGTGCAATTAATCGAAATCGAATTGCAATTTGAAACGTTGCGATTAGTTAAATCGCAAGAGGCTGCAGTATAAAATATTTATATGTATATATGTAAAGAAGAATAACGAATAACATCTGAGGTGATGTGCTTCGAAACCAGTCCGCTATGCTTCAGAAAATAAACATGCTATGCATTCTGCGAGCATTGCAGACATGGTATTAGTTGTCGTGAACTATGCCACATTACACTAAAAGAAATGATTGAATCTTGCGTCACATTGTCCATTTGCTATTTACAACTCCCCATGACACCCTACGTCAAGGAAATCGCGCCGAAATCGCGCCGAAATCGTGTGATCTAGCCGGGGCTTTATAAATAGCCAACTGAGTTAGCACACTTTTGTTCTGCCCAATCAGAATTGGGCAGCTGAACTATGCTCACAAAAAAAAAAGAAAACAAACAGGAAGTCGCTGACAAGTGGGATTGTGGCACCTGCATTCATGGACGAATTAATATCAAAGAAAAACAGCAGTTGTTTTATGGGAATATTTTGGTTTCAAAGTCACAGACACCGAACAAAAACAGGTCATTTTTAAGAGCTATTGCAGAATTGTTGCCACGGCTTGCAGATTATTTGAGCTGAAGCTTGAATTAAATTGAAATCAGCTTGAAGCTTGAATTAAATCGTAAATCAAAAAGCAATATTTGACAAAAATAAATAAACAAAAAAAATAAAAAAATCACAATTAGATGTTTTCCCCAAATCCCACAGCCCTACTGTGAGGCTCCCCTTTATCCCACCACAAGAAAAAGATGGCTGAAATGGCAGCATCAGTGTCAGTAGAAGAGGTCCAGATGTTCCTCTCATTGGTAGACAGTAAAGGCAGAGCAATTACAGTAATAATCTCTCCCCCCCTCTCCCCCCACCCACATTAAGTGGTAATAAACTGCAGTGGAAATGAAAACCCGAACAATAGTGAACTAAAGTGAGACAACAGTACAGTGCCATAAATGGAAAAGCTAATATTGATTTCCATAGTATTTGTTTACTACTATGAATGTCAATGGCCATCATTTTCTGTCATTCTTCAAAATATCTTCTTTTGTGTTTAGCAAAAATAAATTAATGAAGCGTTTTCACACTCACCTGCGCTTGTCCCACCAGACAGCAGCGAGTCCTCGACTCTGCAAAGCTGCCATGATGACATTGACATCATAGTTTCCCGTGCCCAGCACTGAGCGGTGTGGATTCATTACACACTGCGGGGCAAGTCTGCAAGGAACAAGCACATCTTTGGTTTAGAGTAGAGCTGCACGATATTGGACAAAATCAATATTTTATTTTATTTTTCTGTGATAAATATAGCGATAAGAATACAGTTTCACAAAAAGTTTCCTGGGGGGTCTAACAGGATTTAGGTACAGAAATTAAATAATCAAAATGCAAAAAAGCTTTTCTTACTTTGTTTTGTCTCGTTTTTTAGGTAAACATGTAAACATTCTTAGAGCAAGTAACAATATTGTTTTGTTTTTAACTTCAGAACAAATAGGTCTAAATTAAAAGTTTTTGCTTTAAACAGCCAGTGGGGTAAGCAAAATAGTCTCATTTTTTTCTTTGAAATGTAGATATTCAGACTAGAAACAAGAAAAAAATTCTAAGTGAGAAAACTTTTTTGAATAAATCATATAGATTCTGTGTTAATACAGTAATTAAATACATTTCTGTATCTCCGGGTCAACTGTAGTTCAGAGTCAACATTGCATATCTTGCGATGTGACTATTGCGAATACGTACATTGCGATAACGATGCTGAAATGATATATATTGTGCAGCCCTAGTTTGGAGAATATAGAACAACAGTGAGAGAAGCAATGACATGAGAATTAAAATTTGTCTTGATCATTCTACATATAACAGCTCTTTGTTTCTAATCATGCAAGTTTCAACACTTCAAACATCCTACTTATTATTAACCAAACATTCATTATATCAAGCTGTAATAATGACTCAATTGCCAATAAAGTGACATTATGTCACATTGGTTGATTTGCATATACTCCACCTTCAGAATTCAGGCTCGGCCCACTGGCATGGACTTTGGTAGGATCTTAGTAGATTTAATTTGATTGTTTGAGTTTTACACCATTCTAGCTTCTATGATAATTTTTTATGGTAAGAAAATGTATAGTAGATTAAGGTGTCCCGATACAAAATTTAAACTTCCTATACGATACCGATATTGCAGCCTTTAGTACGAACCAATACCAATATAAATCCGATATCAGCACAAATCATGAATACTTTACTTTTACCTATTTCGTTGAGTGGAATGTATGAACAGCTAGATCAAACTGGGAACAAAAGTCAGCAAATATGGAAATAAAAACCAACTTATTAACTATTGGTTTCATAAATGTGAACCTTAACATAACAATATATTAAAAGAATTAAAGAATAAATATTAAGATCCTGAAAAATATCTTAAATAAACAGAATATTTATTTTTAAAGTGAAATAAAAGGTCACTTTAGTTATTTATTTTTTACCATCAGCAAATGCTAGAAACAGCTGAGAGCAGAAACATAGAAAAAATATGGTTAACTGACCAGCTGCTAAAGATTGAGTGTCTAAAGTGTTAATTTCTCACACAGCTTTTTGATGCATTTTTTATCCAGTTTTAAGCTGAAAAAATATCTTTCAAACTGGGCAGCAGAAATAAGTTCACTGGAAGCTATTTTTATAAGTTATTGTTAAATTAATGAAAATGTGCAGTATGGTTTGTACAAACATTTACATGATCAGATCTATTCAATCTGTGTTTGTATCATAAGAAGATTGTGGCTGTATCAATGTTCCCAAACTTATTATTTTATAATAATATATATTGCACATATTGGGCCCTATCATATACCCAGCGCAATGCAGCGCGGCGCAAATGTTATTTGCTAGTTTTAGCTTGATGCAAGAGTCGTTTTGCAGTTTTGCACCACGCTGTTTAAGTAGCAAATGCATTTGCGCATATATTTGCGCCCATAGGCGTTCTGGTTTAAAAAGAAAGGCGTTCTGAGGCGCACTGCTGGTGCGTTGCTATTTTGAGAAACTATAATAGATTTTTCATTAGACCAAAACAAACCCGGTCTAAACTCCGGCGCAGAGTTGCGCCCCGCTTACACACTGCTTAATAGCCTACACACAAGATGTAGAGCAATACGCAAATATCTTTACATATGAAAAAATTTAAATATTAAGGATATATATAGGATATAAAAAGAATATATATAGGATATAAATATAAAGAATTAAAATATTACAAAACATATTATTTTTTAGCCTAAATAAATTTGAAAAATCACTGCTTTTATGTCTTCTTCATCTCGGGAGGCTTTTTCAGTTCATTCATAACAATTTGCTTTTGTATAATGTTATTATTATTAGCAGTATTATTTATTATATCCATATTTATATTTGTTTTATTAAAAACAAGCTTAGATTTGCCCACCTGTCAGGTTTTAGACCATGATGGGGCACAGCATGTGTATTAGGTTATAACTCAGGTTTTTGAACACACTTCGTTTTTATTGTTCATTTATTCGTTTGCTGGAAATTAGAACTGAATTTATATATAGTTTTGAAACAAATATTTGCGCTTACAAACAAAATTAATTATTTATAGGCTAATAATGTCTGTGCATAAAGGTTTCCCTATCCACGAGAGCGAAAGTGAAAGTAGATCGATTATCTCTCATTCTTGAGCTGTAGATGCTCTGTTTAGCTGTTTTCTGTTAAAAAAAAAAAAACTGTTAACTGTTTGCTTGTGAAATGCTCAGCTTTTCCACTTCCACCGTCATGTAAATAGCAAATGCTCTTATGGCGTGACTCAGCTGGCTCTTAAAGGGAATGGGAGATAAGACTCTGATTGGTTTATTCTCAAAATACACCTATAACTCATTAAGAAAATAAACTAAACCCTTTTAGACCATGCGCCACGACCCAAAGTGGATTTTCCCATCCTTAAATTAGCAAATATGGATTCTGACATGCCCTGAATGCGTTTGCGCCCTGCGCTTTCCGTTTCGCACATGGACCGTCAAAATAGAGCCATCATACAAACATCTTTACCGAAGCCTCTCTACTTAAAGGTTGATCTCGCGAGTCCATCATGTTTGTAGTTTGTTTACACTTTTCACCCGCGTTTGTAGTTCTCATCGAATTCACGTCCAACTAACTATGTACTGTGGGCAATATTAGCGGTTAGAGTATGGATGGTTCTACACCTAAAATTTTGACCGGGAAGCCTTTGACATCCTCTTTTCAACATACTACGATTTGGGTCATACTATTTCTATTTTCAAATACTATTTAGAACGAATAGTATGCTGATTGGGATGCAGCAATGCTCTTTGCACTGGTTGCCCGTGCACTTTCGTGCCACTTTTTGAATTCTTCTCTTGGTTTTTAAATCACTAAATGGTTTGACACCTTCATATCTGTCAGACCTGTTCACTGAACATCAGCCTGGTCAATCTCTTCGGTCATCAAACCAGAGACTATTATACATTCCTAATGCCTAGTTCAGACTGCGTGATTTTAGCCCCGATTTCGGCTCGCCGACAGGTTTTGAGAAATCGCAGACAAATGCCTGAAATCACAGGCAAATCGCTGCTCGTGCACATGAGTGACAATCACACAGTATGAATGATCAAAGACGCGATCTGAGAGAATCGCCGATGAGTCGCCGATGCCTGTGAGATATTTGGCATGCTAAATATCTGGAGCTGTCGGCGATTCAAATCATGCCGTGTGAATTGAGTTTTGACTGAAAGTAACATCAGCGATCGCCTACAGCCAATGAGAGAGCAGCTTTCACTTGTGTGTGTGCGTGTGTATACCTGCTGCAGGCCAGGGGGAGGCTGGGGGAGAAGTTAAAAGTGCTCTTTTTCGGTTTATTTGGACCCACGAAAAGGAGGGAAAATTAGTGGAGGTTTGACAAGACTCAGGAGCACCCGTGTCTGTTTGACATTTCATACAGAAAGAAATTAGTTTATTATCAACGTTGAGGAGAAATGGCTAATTCCCTTTAAACCCAGGTGAGCAAACATGTACATTTTCTACCCCATTAAAGGCTTCTTTCTCATTATGTAGTTAATACCAAAAGATATACTACATGTTTTTGGCTGTGAGACGTAGTTTGGACGAAGTTGTCGGCGATTCTTCCTATAGTAAAGTCATGCAATGTGAATGTCCATGTCACCGAACCATCTTGCAGTGTAAACAAAGCAGCGACGAAACGCTAGCCCAGATAGTCATGCAGTGTGAAAACATCTGTGACACGACTACTTTGAAAATCATGCAGTCTGAACTCGGCATAAGTCAAGGCTGAAATTCAGGGATGACAGTGCTTTTGCTGTAGCTCGTCCTAGACAGTGGAATGCTCTGCCCCTGTATTTTATTTATATCATATCTGTCTGTTTTTAAATCTAGGTTGAAAACTTACCTTTTTGATTTGGCATTTTATCAGTGAGAATTGTTTGTTTTAGCTGTAATTTTATATCTTTCTCTTTGTGATTTGTATTGTATGAATGGTACGAATTTCCATTTAGTAAAAAAAAAATGGTGTTACACTTAGAAAGACACTAAACTCACAATACTACACAATATGATTGAGTGTTTAAATCCATAGTGTGTAGTATTTCATTTGGGACGCATAAAGCCATCAGCTGTACTGGATCTGAGAGCCACTGCATTCAAATATGCAAGTTAATAATTTAACAATGCTTTGTCTTTGAATGACATTTTTTATATGTATGCTGTCTTTCACTTGCTATCATGTGCAATAGCGAGGGGATGTTGGTATTGTTTCCTATGCAATGATGTGAGCCGATCCAAACAGTGTCCATTACCTGAGAGGCTTTTAAAGACCCCACAGCCTCATAGAATTGTAAAATGCCTAGTGTCCACTGAGGGGTGGGGTTCAGTACAGTAGTTTGATTGAGTATGGATCACCCTGATCAGGCTTGTGTTTCCATTGCCAATAGAACCGTAACATGGTGGCGTCGTGTACAACAGAACAAACGGAAAGCCATTGGTTCTGTTCTGTTCACATATCATGCTTATCGTTCGTTACGTGGAACAAGTTTTTTCCTTTACAGCAGGGGTCACCAATCTTGGTCCTGGAGGGGCCGGTGTCCCTGCAGGATTTAGCTCCAACTTGCCTCAACACACCTGCCTGGATGTTTCAAGTATACCAAGTAAGACCTTGATTAGCTTGTTCA